AAAGTTAGCTTAAAGTCTTAGATAAATAAGTTGATAAAACTAATCTAACATTATTGAATTCTAATAAATAATTAAAAGACCTACTTTTAAAATTTAGACAACCAAACAAATTTTGCTTAGATATCACACTCTTTTTACTATTTTTAGGAATAATAGGTGTTATTGTCAACATGATTTATTCTAAATGATGATTATTATTATTTTTTAATTCAAATTGCATATTATCTGTTGTCTGAATCAATAAAAAATATCTACCGTCTATTTTATGTTTTATAATGATAAATTTGCAGTTGTATCTTTAAAATTTAAAATAAATTAAATTGTATATTTCTATTCTATAATCGTTAATGATATCAGGAGCTCAATTAAAATAGATCAATATTTTTAATTAAGTATAATATATTAAATTATATATTTTATTCAAACTAACAACATTTTAACTTTGATTTTTGAAAATAACTGTATAAAATAACTATGCAATTTTTATGAATAATATAGTAAAAGATCAATCCAATTTGATTAATTAATGGGTTTAAATATCTCATAATAATTGTTTTATTTTATTTATGAGGCTATATATTATACTAAGTCTTTACTTACTATTAACAAAGGAGTAAATGACATATGAAGAATGCAAGAGAGATTGTACTATGGATTGGTTAGATTGTGTAAGTGGTTGTGATAGTATAGGAAATCCATCCTTTTGTCATAAAAATTGCCAAAAGTATAAAATCATTAATTTATTCAGTGTGGTCCATACTTGTTTAGATGAATGCCCAAAAATAATTTGTATTGATGAATGCAGAATAGATTTAGAGCAATGTAGAAAAAATGGTAAAGGAGTTTGCGAAATTTTATTCAATCAATGCGAACTAAATTGTCAAGACACATATAATTTAAAGGAAGACATATGAATATATATATTATTTGAGATAAGCTCTTTATTTTTATAAAATTTTGGTTATTGAAATTAATCTTTCTTTTTTTTATTTCTTTAATGATATTTTTTTGTTTCATGTTTAATCACTATATATATTCAGTACTTGAAATATATTACTATAACTTTGAAAATGAAAAAAAATAAACATAAATATGTAGATTTACTCTTTTTATTGAATTTGTTTTATTTATAGCATGATCTATGAATTGAATTTAAGTATTTTGAATATATTTAAATCTTCATAATACTCAACATTTTTTAAATCAGATTAACTAAAAGTTAACAATGATATATTTAAAAGAGACTTTTCTGTTATGTATTGTTCAATTAGATCATTAGGATGAATACCATTATTATTATAAATTTAAAAAATAAATAATTATAAAATTATAATTACAAATGATAAAAACCTTAAAAAATTAAATTTTTATTTATTCTTAATTGTATGAATCTATTAATAATGAAAGCATCATTGAAAAATAAATATAATATTGTTATCAAAATTTTAAAGTAAGTTAAGTGAAATATTCAACAGTTTATTTTTAATATATGATACTAATTAAAGAAGCTTTGAAATCTTAATATATTAAAAAGATTGTTATTTGATATTTATAATTTAGAACATTAACTTAAAATTAATTGGATCCTTTGGAATTAATACAATTTGCTTAGATTTTTTTAAATTATCATTCAATTATTAAAACGAGAAGCCTTCCATAATTTTAGAATGTTAGGTATAACATATATCGTCTGTTAGGATTTATTTAAGAAAGTAGACAATTTGTGATAAATTTTTACTTTTTTCGTATCTGGGATTGCTCAAATGTTTTAGTAAATGAGAAATGCCAAAAAAAAAAATAGGATTAGGAAAAAGAAAATGAATGAAGTAAAAATGAGTTTAATAGATTTAGGAATATTTGTAAGTTAAAGATATAGCTGAAGATAAAGTTAAGATTGATAAACTCATATAATGATATAGAATTAGTGTTTGTATGGAAAAATATAGATGTAAATGATTAAAGAAGATGATATTTTTTTAAGGGATTAGGAAATTAAAAAGATTGAGATAGGAAGTATGGATAATTCTAAGTTAATTAATTATTAATTAATGATTATTGTATTATTAAAACGAAGAATTTTTATTCCGTTTTTGGTATTATTAAATTAATTATGAGAACTCTTGTTGCCCTTTGCTTAGTGGCTGCTGTCTTCGCTATTGACACAAACAAATTTGCCGTCCTCCTCTAATCAGGTACTAGAGGAAACGATGCAGTTGAATCAGTTTACAACCTTTTGAGAGATTTGAAAACAGAAAATGTTAATGTTTAGGCTGCTGCTGATAAGAAGAATAATACAGATGAAGGTATGATATGAATTAAAGATTAGAAATCTTTTCTTAAGTTATTGGTGACTTGACAAACGTTGCTTCCCTCAATAAATAATAATGGGAAGCATTGGGTGCCGTTCGTACAGATGTTGAAGCCTAAATTAGAGTATGCTATATCCCTTAAGAATTAGGATGGATATTCATGGTTAGCATGGGCTGAAGCAAGACTTGCTGAAATTGAAAGAAGAAATGCTTAACTCTAAGACTAAAGATGTTGGGCAAATGGACTCTTTGTCAGATCATTAGCTGATCATGCTGATGCCGTTGCAGTTGTTTAACTCTTGTAACAAGACGTTGCTGGATGGCTCACAAACAATGCTGGAGTAGAATTAGTTCAAAAGGCTGAAACCATTGCTGACAAATTGTCTGCCTACAGTCACCTCTTCTAATAAGATGCCCTCTAAAAATTCTAATCACTTGCTGAAGTAAAGAGAGAAGGAACAACTGGAGAACAAGTTCTTTCCATCTTGGGAGATTTATAAGCTGAATTAGAAGCAACACTTGCTACACTTTAAGAATAAGAAATCCATGCTGCTTTTGCACTTGCTAAATACGTATCTGATACCAATGCTGAAGTTGCTTGGTTAAATTCTGAACATGAAAGAAGAACAGGTCTTGTTGAAAAATTAGAAACTGTATTAATTCTTTTAATTTATTTTTATAGCAACTCCCAGCAGTCCTTGCTTAATAAGCTAAAGCTCTCAAATTATGGAAAGATTCCTTGAATGCCGTTGCTGGTGCCACTGCCGATTTAGAAGAGAAAAGAGAATTCTATGCTTCAGAAACTGCAAGAAGATAAGGTATCTATTTCATTTTTAATGTTTTATAGAGGAAAACGCTATCATCGATGTTGTCATCTAATTATTCAAGGATTAAGTTAGAGCCTTAGCCTCATAAACATCCCTTGGAAGAAAGTGATTAGATTATTAATATTCAATTTAAAAATAAGCATCAATTACATAAATTCATTTAATTATATTTATATATTTATCAACTCATTCACTTATTGGAGAGTAATCATATTCAGCTTTATTGTGCATAACTAAAGTATCACCAACAAAATAAAAACTATCCGATTTTGTATCAAAAGGATTTTCTATCATTAATTATTTCTTTTATATATCAAACATCCTTACCACATCTTCAGAAATATCTGGAATAGTATATATATGCTCCCATGTATTTGTTGAGTTTGGTATACAAAATGGAAATTGGAATTCATAACTTCTTAATAGTACATTTCTAAAATAATGCCTCTCTATTATCGTAAAGTTTTTCACAGGTTTGTCCCCTACAGAAAATGTTAACTAAGCTCCTATTGTCTTCAATTCAAAAAATTAAGGCCCAAAGTGATACTTAATTCTTCTTGCTTCATCTTAAAGTACTGGTGGCAAATTTTCTGATCATTATTAATTGAATCTACTAATTACCTATTGATTCTTCATCAGGATCTCGTTCAACTTCAAATAACACCTATCCTGAATCCATTTCTCTGATTCTAAACTTCAAGAATTAGATATTATAAATATTTGCAGATATGGGACATAAAAAACTATTGAATTAATCTATCACTTACTCTTTCGTTATTTCCTAAAGATTTCTTACATATTCTTAATTGATTTTCTATCCTGCCTGCATTAAAATTTAAATAATATAATATTAAAATATTTATCACTTTCAATCTCTTTTTTTTATAACTCACTAATCAACCTAAATTCTATTTTTGTAAGTTATAAGTGACTAACCATGTTTGCTCTTCTAATTTCCTATTTATCATACTTTTAAGATACTGAAGATCCACTTCTCAATCATATATTATTAGATTTACTACAGATTCCTATTAACCAAAATAAAATCAATCATCTCTTTAACATAATTGCTTTTTCCTATAATATTTTTAGACATTTCCTTGAGAATTAAAAATTTTTTATTTATTTTCAACAGAACCATTAAAAGATATCTCTATAAAGACTTGCAATTTATAATTGCACAATTAGAAAAATTATTATCAATAATTTGTATTACAGACATTTTAAGAGTAGTTTTTAATAATAAGGATTATAAACTATTCTCTGTAAGTTTAAGTCTTCATCATATCAATTTGAATATTAATGTACTTTATTTTTAATAATCATTTTCTTGCTGCCAAAGCTACTTATGTTGCAATTCTATTTAAGTCTTATTAGCCTTCTTTGGTAACAATTCTTGATCCCTTCTTAAGAAGTGATTTATTGTCTTTCTTCAAAATCTTAATCGATTCCAATTATTAGAGCAAATATCTAATAACTTTTCCTGATCCTGATTCATGTTTTCCATTATCATTCATTGATCCAAACATGTGAGTAAGATTTCCCACACCCTAAATTAGATTCTTTTAAATAAAGTACCCAATGACCTCTCACATAAATCTTTCTTGCCAGTGCTGCAGCTCTAACATACATCCAATCTTAATCGATAGGGGAAATTTCTTTTCCAAGACCTGTTTTTACAATAGATCCCCATTCTGGGATTTTTATTTTATTATTTTTCTTTAAGTATTCTGCAAATGCACGAATGAAGTCTTAAGCAGGAACATCCTTTGATTAAAATCAGTCTATTACCTTAACTGTATAAAATGGTGTTGACATCCTATAATAAAAATTAAATAAATATTTTTTGAATATTTCTTAAGATTCTTTTATTTATTAAGAACCTTAATCAATCTCAAAAGTTACAGAATGTTTCTTATTATTTCTAAATTCTAATTATTTAATTAATCCCAATGAAAAGATATTTTATATTATTATGATTATTATTTAACTTCTATATAATGAAGTCTAACTCTATACTAAATTAACTTCATCTAAAAGAGACTCAAATAGAATTTAATTAAAGGAGTACTGAAACTGTCTATTTATAAAAAAATACATCAGAAATAACCTGAGGAGTTAAAAAATCAAATAAATATTTATTCAGAATAAATTCTAATTTAGCAAAAATAATAATAACATGTTTCAAAATGGAGACTTTCTGTTAACTTGGGAGCTATAATAATATTATCAAGAACAATTCTAGAATTTGCAACCTAATAGAGGATTTTAGTTATTTTTATTATGATGCTTTTTTTTAAAACGAAAGGTAGAGTACAAATTTTAATTGATAAACAATCATCAAAGCATAAATCTCATCATTATATGTATTTAGAATTATTATCAGAATTAATAAAGCTACAATTATTAATTTCTCATCATAGAAGAATTTATATTTTTGGAAAATAATACCCTTGTGAATTTAAATTAAAATAGAAAAAAAATAGTTTCAAAATGATACCAGAATATATACCTAAACCATTTTCTATTATTAGATACAGAAATTAGAAATAAATGAATTAATTAAAGTAAAGAATATAATAAGGAAACAGTAGTAAAATAAGTTTTTAATTATTAACTGTTTTAAGTTGACATATTTCCTTTATTAAAACAATTTAAATATAATTTATTAAATAAGAGAATCCTTATCTTATTTATCTATGAGAAAAAGGATAGATGATTAAATCTACCCACTAACTATAATATTAAATCCTTAATAACTAAATTTTGTAAATCAAAAAATTGAAATATTCTTAATGAAAAAATATTCAGCTAAATCTAAAGGTTGTAAGAGTTTTAAATAATTCAATATTATTTAATTATTATTGTTGGAGATATAAATAATAGATCAGCAGCTTTAGATGATGTTGATGATAAAATTCTAATAGATTAATTCACATAACATAGACATATAATCAACAATATGAAGTAATCAAATACTGATATCTTTCTAATAGACCCAAGGAACTTTCTGAGTTATCTTATAAATTTTGCAATCTATCTGACTATATTCTATTTACTTGTGAAATCACTATTTTAAAATCTCATAAAAAATCCTAAATTTTATGAGTATAACATAATCAAATTTTCAGTTTATTTTTTCAATCTCAAATGAGATGATTATAAATTTTTACAAGAGTTTTGCTATTAGATTAAATAAGGAGCGAAAGACTTCCAGGTTCATAAAAGAAAGAGATTAGGACTTGGATAAATCTAAAACTGAAACATAAGATTTTAAATTATTACAATTAATAGACTAAAAATTAAGGACAATAGATAGCTAAATATCTCATTTTTAATCAAATGTATGATTATAATCAATCCAATTAAAAGAGATGAAGGGTTAATGTCTGCTTATATATTAATAAAGAGAATAAATTAATTATGAATAAAAATCACGTAATGCAGAATGTTATTACAATATTTGTAAAATAACAAGGATTATAAATTATTTCCCTTTAAAGTTTCAGGACTTAGTAGCAATTAAATATAAATAATTACTTGATATGAAAATAAAAGATGAGTATAAATAAAGCTTCGACAAATGTATTTACTTGAATTCATAAACATGCGACTTTTTTGATACTGAATGATTTATGGAATATTCTAACATAACTACTGGTGCCTAACTTTGCTGAATTTAGGATTGTTCCATTAAACAAACGTTATCCCGATATTCATACAGCTACAGATTTCAGACCTACCACAATATTAATTCTCTTTATAAGTGGATGAAGCTAAGGTTTGAAAAAAAATTTTCAAAATATTGCTAGCTAAATATTACACAATAATAGGTTGGATTAATTAGAGGTTTCAATGCATAGGTTTAGATAATAAAAATGGTGTATCATAAGGCAGCATTCTTTCTCCATTTTTTTTTAACATATATACAAATATGTTTGCTTTAAATATAAGAAAGAATTAATCAATAATAAAATTAATAGTTTATATCAAATTTAAAAAAAAATAATCAAGGATACCTGAATATATAAAAGATGTGTTTTTGTTACCAATCAGAAATTGCAATATATATAGTGAAAGGATGACATTTTATCATCTTAAGGAAAACAAAAATCAAATGTTATTTAAAAATTAATATAACTTTTATAAATGAAAGAAAGTAGAGCAGGAGAATTGTTTCAAAGAAGAAGGTTAACAATAAATAAATGATTTTGTTGTTGTTGTTGTATTATTATTATTATATTAAAAATTTATTAATTAGAATTTTTGAATTACGATTATTAATTTGATTATTCATATAAAATTACTTATTTTAGAATATTTTGTAACTTTGAAAATATATTTAACTGTAAAAGGTTGATGATATGCTTATTAAAAAATTACATAGTTATTTATAGAATAAGTTGGTCAGAAATAAATTATGAAAGATATTTATAATGTAATTTGAAGTGAAAGAGAATGGATATTATAATGAGAGAGTGGATAAAGAACAACCAACAATGTAATTATATAATAGTTTGAATGGTTGAAAAACAAAAAAATGATATAATAATAGAATTTGAAAATTTGTAATGATATAACTAAGAAATTATAAGGTTAGATATTAATAATAGGATTAGTAAATGAAATATAGGATATAAGAAAGAACGGATAAAGGTTGAGATAAGGAGGAAGGATGAATAAGAGGAGTATGATTTGGAGGAATAGAATGTAGAGGGTTTTAGATATGATATTTGAGGTGTAATGAGAGAGGGAGAGAAATAGAAAAGTTGTGAGATAGATATTTATATAATTAGGTTGTAATTAATAATAATTAATTGTATATTATAAGCATTTGATCGATCCGTTTTTAAAACATTAATAAAAATATATGCAAAAACTAGCCATCTTGACATTAGTTGTTGTCCTTGCAGCTTCAAAGTTTGTTGATACTCACGCATCCTTGGCTCAGATTGATTCTGATCCATTTGGAAATGTTGTGTTGTCAGCAATTAAAGCTCACATTCAAGCCCAAACACCAGCCAACGAAGTTAATATGTTATTGAATGGTGTTGCTGCTGGATTATAATAAGATTAAAATGACCATGACCACGCTTTCGAACTTGATACAACAACCAACAACAGAGTAAGAATATTTGTTAAGAATATCTTAGATTGTCGAAGATTTGGAAAAGGAAATCTTATATCACTAAAATCAAATTGCATCTAACACTTAATTGAGAGATGACACAATTGAAGCTTTAGCTGTTTCTGAAGAAGACATCAGAGTGACAATTTAAGACATTGCAACAAATGAATCAACATATGCCAGAGAAGAAGCCACAAGAAACTAATAACACGAAACCTTTGTTGCTAAAGTAGCTGCCATTGATGATGTTATTGATGCCATTGATGAAGCTGCCAAATTAATTCAACATTTAAGTTTGGGTGCTTCATTTGTCTAAGTCAAATCAAAATATGAAACCATTCACAAGAGACTTACAGACAATACATCCCATTCTTAACTCTTACAAGTATTTAGAATTCCATATATCTTTATTTTAGCCAGTCGTTGCTGCTCTTACAGAATTAGCCACCCACGGAGTTAATTAAAAGGCTTTAACCAAGATTGCTTAACTCTTGAGTGAAATCAGATAATAATTAGTCTCAGAAAAGGCTGCTAAAACTGTAATCATATTATTTTAATATTTAAGGACGTTGAAGAAAGATAAGCTGCTCACTGGGCTGAATTCAGCGTTCATTTGAGTAATGAACACACCAGATTGGTTGAAAGAAAAGCCTAATTAGAAGTCTAAATCTAAGAATAAAAGGATACAATTGAAGATGCTTAATCATGGATTGAATTCCACACCTTAGAATTAGAAAATAGTGAAGAAAGACTTGCTGGATAATAAGCATGGTATGCAGTCTAATCATAAATCTATGAAACTCAAACTGCTGAAAGGTATATCTTTATCTTATAATATAGAGCTGCTTAAAATGAAATTGTTGACAGACTCCAAGAACACATCAGTGAGAAATTATCAACCACCGCTCAATTCATCAGCAAGAGAAATTGATTCATCAAACAATACAATTATGGACAATTGTTCTATTATACATCTACCCCAATATTCTTTTCCATTTTCCACTTTTCTCATTTATTTATTATAATTATTAAAATATGTAAATTATAATATGGATTATTCAATTCTTACAAAATAAACGTTGTATGAAACGAGTCTCATTACGTATTAGTTGTTGTTCCTTTTTCTATTCATCCATAATTTTATTTATTCATGAAATTCTTAGCCCTAATATCTGGAGGCAAAGATTCTATTTTCAATATTATCCAATGTATTCAATAAGGCCATGAATTAGTCTTATTAGTCAATCTTCACCCCAAAAGTATATTATATAAAAACTGTATTTAGATATTGGCAATGAAACTGATAGCTTTATGTATTAAAGTGTTGGAACCAACATAATTGAAGCAATATCTTAAGCTTTAGATAAACCATTACTGAAAAAAGAAATTTAAGGCAAACCAAAAATCACCAATTTGGCTTATCAATGTAATGATGAAGAAAAAGAAGGAGATGAAGTGGAGGATCTCTTTTTAATATTAAAAGAGGCAATAACACTTTATCCTGATATAAAAGGAGTCAGTTCTGGAGCCATAGCCTCAACATATTAAAAGATAAGGGTAGAAAATTGGTATTCCATAATTTATAAATGATTTAGTTGTTAAAGATTAGGGCTTGTCTCTATGGCTTATCTATGGAACCAAGATTAATTTACTTTATTAGATTAAATGTTGTAGAACAACATGAAAATCATTTTAATTAAAGTGGCAGCTTTGGGTTTGACATAAAAACATCTTGGAAAATCCATCTAAGATTTGTATGAGCATTTTAAAGAAATTGTAACTTGATTTTAATCCTTTATTAGCATGAGAAATATGGATTCCATCCTTGTGGAGAAGGAGGAGAATTCGAGAGTTTTGTTTTAGATTGTCCATTATATAAAAAAAGAATATAAATGTAGTTAATTTAACTTTATATTTAGTAATGAGAGTGAGATTATTTGTCATGAAAATAATTCTGTTGCTCCTGTGTATTATCTATTAATAAAAAGTTATTCATTAATTGAGAAAGATTGAACATTTTAATATTTAATTTATGAAAATTATTCGAACATTTTGCTAAGCCAAATAATTGTTGCTAAATGATAAATTAAAACTCACAAAATACTTAAAATTAGTCTAACAAACACCTGTCTCCTATGAAGGTGTAAGAAAAGCACTTGGATATGATGTTATTCTGAACAATTTGAAATTTGAAGAAAATCAATCAGACATTTTTCCATTAACATTAAAACTAATTAAAAGAGATATATCTTTATTTGATTTCAAGGAATTCACAACTTATTTATCAACAATTAATAATTACATATGCTTTTCAAAATCTCCATATCCTTAAAATGAACAAGAATTTTAGGATGCCTTGAGAATCATTCTTGATCATGGTACTTATATTTAAAAGTTTTTGACACTATAACATATAGTGATATATTTTGATTCAAGAATTACTCTCTATTGTTAATTGGCAACATAACTAAAGGATGCTTTGAGAGATCATTAACCTAAAAATACAGAGGAAAAAATATTAAANGTGTTGGAACCAACATAATTGAAGCAATATCTTAAGCTTTAGATAAACCATTACTGAAAAAAGAAATTTAAGGCAAACCAAAAATCACCAATTTGGCTTATCAATGTAATGATGAAGAAAAAGAAGGAGATGAAGTGGAGGATCTCTTTTTAATATTAAAAGAGGCAATAACACTTTATCCTGATATAAAAGGAGTCAGTTCTGGAGCCATAGCCTCAACATATTAAAAGATAAGGGTAGAAAATTGGTATTCCATAATTTATAAATGATTTAGTTGTTAAAGATTAGGGCTTGTCTCTATGGCTTATCTATGGAACCAAGATTAATTTACTTTATTAGATTAAATGTTGTAGAACAACATGAAAATCATTTTAATTAAAGTGGCAGCTTTGGGTTTGACATAAAAACATCTTGGAAAATCCATCTAAGATTTGTATGAGCATTTTAAAGAAATTGTAACTTGATTTTAATCCTTTATTAGCATGAGAAATATGGATTCCATCCTTGTGGAGAAGGAGGAGAATTCGAGAGTTTTGTTTTAGATTGTCCATTATATAAAAAAAGAATATAAATGTAGTTAATTTAACTTTATATTTAGTAATGAGAGTGAGATTATTTGTCATGAAAATAATTCTGTTGCTCCTGTGTATTATCTATTAATAAAAAGTTATTCATTAATTGAGAAAGATTGAACATTTTAATATTTAATTTATGAAAATTATTCGAACATTTTGCTAAGCCAAATAATTGTTGCTAAATGATAAATTAAAACTCACAAAATACTTAAAATTAGTCTAACAAACACCTGTCTCCTATGAAGGTGTAAGAAAAGCACTTGGATATGATGTTATTCTGAACAATTTGAAATTTGAAGAAAATCAATCAGACATTTTTCCATTAACATTAAAACTAATTAAAAGAGATATATCTTTATTTGATTTCAAGGAATTCACAACTTATTTATCAACAATTAATAATTACATATGCTTTTCAAAATCTCCATATCCTTAAAATGAACAAGAATTTTAGGATGCCTTGAGAATCATTCTTGATCATGGTACTTATATTTAAAAGTTTTTGACACTATAACATATAGTGATATATTTTGATTCAAGAATTACTCTCTATTGTTAATTGGCAACATAACTAAAGGATGCTTTGAGAGATCATTAACCTAAAAATACAGAGGAAAAAATATTAAAATTATTTTGGGAATAAATTGATATTTATGATTAAGAAAAAATAGAATCTCTGATAGAAAAATAAGTAGAACCATAAAATCCTACTATGAAAATTGAAGAGCGTATAAAAAAAGAGTTTATAGATATAATTGATGTATTGTAAGTTGAATGTGAGCAATATCATTTAGCCACATAATTAGTTATCTTTGAAATTATATCTAGACTATATTTTGATTAAGTAAATTATATTATTAGATTTATAGGATGTTGAAATTAGTGAAAAAAAACTTTAATAAATTTACTATGTTGAAAAATAATGTTAATGCAAAATAGAGTAGAACCTATCTAATTTGAATAATTTTCATCTAGTTCTTTATACTCATATGTTGAATTTAAATTAACATGAAGTTAACATTTTAAGCTGGGATAAAATTATTGTATGAATATTATAATTTGGTATAGAATGAATTAACAATCAGAGATTTTACTACAATGACAATAGATGATGCTTTTAAAATATGGTTACTTTTATATGAGATTGGAAGATAAAACTCAACAGTCAATGACAAAATAATTGAGTAATAATTACATTTAAATTAGTAAATTGATGAATTAAATCGAATTAATTAAAAATAAATATTATGTATTATTATGTGAATTATTAATTGAAACAAAAAATAGCAAAAGAGTGGAGTTTTTAAAAAAATGGTATATAAATTTTTTATAATTTATTAGGTATCCAAAAATTGATTTGGAAAATGAAACACCCTAAAATTTATGTGTAATATTAGATGCATTTAATTCTGCTAAACTTTTAAATAAATTAGTGTTAGGAAAATTTTTAAATGCTTTAGAGGAGAAAATGGATTAATTAGAGGAAATTTATGTTGAAAACATATTATTGAGTTTAGTTGATCATTAATATGAGCACGAGAAAACATTTGAGAGAGCAGTGTAATTTGAAATATTTGAAGTATTAGATATAAAATAAATAATTTAGAATACTTCAAAGCATTTTTTGTTAGGATTATTGCATTATTGTTAGTTGTATAATTAGAAGCATTAAAAAGTAAGAGAAATTCAAGAAGTTTTTGTTTAAAATTTAACAAAAGAAAATGATGAATCAATTTTGATTGAGTTGCTTAGAATTTTAATAACAGGGATCAGACGAAAGAATAGTGAACACATTGAAATAATACCAGAGTTAAAACCATTTATAAAAAAATTTATTGATTAAAAAGAGGGAAATTTAATGGGTTAAGAATCTTAATTTAGAAGTTTATTATAAAAGTTGTATCATATTAAATGAATATATTTAATATTAATAAAATCTTTTTAAAAATAAGTAATTTTGTTAGCATATACATTAAATAATAACATAACGCTATTTTTAAATTAATTATCTAAATAGGGATTGTATAAAGTTTCATTTCTTAGAATTGCCAGTTTACCTGAATTATATGAGATAACTAATTTGGAACAATTATCACCAGACACGGAAACAAAAACAAAATGATTTTATGTACAGAAGCAATAAAGAAAGATTTTAATGTCAATGGAAGCTTTTTATTTTACTCACATCCAATTTCAGCCTAAATTAGTATAATATGTTGATTTATATTAAGAAATTAATCTCAAAATTAAATGGGAATAGGTTTCTTATCATATGTTTAATAAATAAAGAATTCTTTCATTTAACTATACTTAATGAGAAAATGAATTATAGAATTTGATTAAAGTGGAACTTACAATATTATCAAATTCTTTGTGTTAAAATTATCAATCAATCTATTATTTCTTTCCATTCTCTTATATTAATAGATCACTTTTCAAAACCTTGAATTTTATCATAACTATTTATGTTATCTTAGAAAATTATAAATTTTTAAATTAACTAAAAAAATTATACAAAACTTCAAATATGATATTGGCAAAAGATTTTAAATCAAATAGAATATATCAATTCCATTATTGACTCTAATAATAATGGTGAATTAACCAATGAATAATAAAACAGATTCTCAAAAATGCATTTCAATAATACTTGAATTTAATAAATCCAATTTTATTATAGAGTAACAAAAGTGAATTTGATAAAAAATAACGATTATTATCTATAAATAAAATATATAATTATTAAAATTAAAGCTTCCTTCATTTCGTTTGTAATAACAAAAGCCGAAAATTTGTTTCAAATTTCTAATCCAAATAAAATTAATATTATGGAATCAAAAATATCATACTTCTCACTATTTCTTGCTGTTTGACTAGAAAAGGAAGGTATTATGTAAATAACACTATAATCAATATCAAATCCAATAGAATATAAATTATACTCAGAACCTAATATTACTCTTTATAATATATACTTAATGAGTTATTGTTATCTTATTTATTGCTTCTGTAACTCCTTTCAAAATTTAATCAAGAATTGTCATTATTGCATCAGATGTTATCATCCCTAATTCTAACTCTTCATAAGGAGCAATCACTGGTCTCAATTTTGCTTAGAATCCATTTGTATTCTCATATTCTTATTATATCTATTCATGCAATGTAGATATTGAATTATATATTCCTAATTTCATTACTCCATTAAATGCTGAATCGCAATGTTCTTGAGCTAAACTCTTGTTGAACTAATTTTAATAATTATTTTAATACATGTGTCATAAAATTACATATATTTGTTGATTTAATTTCTTCTAAAAGCTCTATCGTTTAGTCATCTATTATCATTAAGTCTCTAAATTATTATTATTTATATATTTACTAGTCTAAATATGGAAATTAAGTAATAAAAGTATTAATCTTTTCTAATTCTTCTACCACTTTTTCATTTTATAATATTCGAACATCATCTGTATAAAAAAAATAATATGGACTTTATGCACTTATTTGATAGTTTATTTCTCTATATGAATAAACAGAAATCAAAGCTGAACTAGTTTACGAAATCTTCTCCAACCAATAACTACTTACTTAATACTTTTCATAAAAATTGCTATCAATCTATTCTAAAACTATTTATGGACATAAGATAAAAGCTGTAATTATAAAAAATATTATTAAAATTTTTGTTCTAGGTGCTTTATATTATTAACATTGTAATCTCACTTAATTATTTTTTGAATTATAATATGCTAAATTTTATTGAATTTTCTTTTCATAAATAGCTATTTCAAAATTATAATAGTATGATGCATTATCTTTCATCAATATTTAATCAATCTAACTTAATCGTTGTAATTCCATTTATAATGCATACTAATTAATATCTGTATATAAACTAAAATGCTTTGTGTGAATTTGATAGTTTTTCAAAACATAAGAAAACCCTAATAAAATGAATAAAATTTAAAGAAATGTCATTTTTAAAAATATTTTAACTCCTTCACTTTCCTTGTTTAAAGTTCTATTTATAATAAATAATGACACCTCATCGCTCAAGGAATCAAAATAGTTGTCAAAAGTTAATAAATTTGCCATAAAGTATACAAAATCATTTGAAACTTATAAATTTAACAAATCCAAATTAATTTCTTAGTTATCTTATATTACAAAGAACTAAGACTCCAAATAATAAAATAATGATGTTTTTAAAGGAATCTATCTTTATTCTAATGAGTTATTTTTAACAAATTGCATTTAGATATTTTTATCGTAAAAAAATACTTATAAGTTTCTATTATTAAGTTGTGTAATATAAGATTCCTTAAGAATATCATAAGATTTGGTAATAGCATCTCTAGAAAAAGGCATTTTCATTGTAGCTGTTTCTATTGTAATCACTTTATACATTGATAGCATATAATAGTTTACAAATGCAGATTGAGAACATATACAATCATGAACAGGCACTAAAAAATTTGATTTTATTGATAGTAAATCTGCATCATTGGCAACTTCATCAAAATTTTTCATTATATAAATTACTTAAAGAAGAAAATAAGCAATGTTTATTATTAAAACAAACAAAAATAATGAGATAGAAATATATATGAATAGTAATTTCTTATTTTCCAGAAATTTATTCATTTGGTTATATTTACTATAAAAAATAGCAGTATCAAGAAATCCCTTTGAAAATTTTGATGATGCTTAATCTTCATTATTAAAATCATCTTATAATAAATTGAGACTATTTTTTGAAGCTTTCTATTCATCTTTAAAAGAATCACTTTTATCACTTTAAAATTTGCTTTTAATAGTAACCATACAACCTTTCTTTTGATCATTTTACAGTAACTCTTAATCAGTTTTATCTCTCCTTTCTTCTGAGAGTGGTAGATTTATTTCTTCAAAGAATTGATGGTTTGGTATTATAACAAAGGATTCTTAATTTGGCAATAATTTTTAAGATAAACTTTTAACAACACTTTGTTAATCTTCTGAATCAGAATTTATTATTAAATCAGAATTATCAATTATTTGCAATTCAAATAAATTATCTTTTTCAATCATTATTACATTTAATTCATCTTAATTTTATAAAAGTTTTATTTTTATGTGCTTTTAAAGAGGTATTTTTTTAAAATTAGATATTAATTTGTTGATATCACTTTAAAGAAGAGATTTTTTATCAAATCCTAAATCCTTAACTTAATTTATAAAATTATTTGTAAAACCAACAATTTTACTATCCTTATTTATAAATACAGATATTGGTTGGTTTTCTAAAAATTTAATAAATGCAAAAATTTAAATATGATTGTTTGTGAAAGGTTAAACACTTAATTATAACTAAATATAAAAAAAAGTATCTTAATATCCTTTTATTAATAATTCATATGGTTTTGATGATTTCTTACACAAACCTGTTTATAAAAATCTTTTAATCAAAAACTAATGAATTTCATAAAAATCAGTTGGAATCAACGACTTAAAATTAAAATTTTCATACTAGATATTATTTTTTGAATATCCCAAGTTTGAAATCATATCTTAACTATATTAAATAATTTCAAGATTTTCCATATCATCTAATATTTGCAATCCAATATAAGAATATTATTCATAAATATTTTATTTGCTATCTTCATTAATTATTTAACTATATCTAAGTATTTCAGCTTGAAAGATATTGTTAAAAAAATCTACATAAAGCATAATAAGTAGTTGTTATATCCTATAACTTTTATGGACAAATAAGTCATTCTTTATTTTTTTCACAAACTTTAATGATCTTTAAGTTAAAGAATAAGATATATCAAATAATTAATTTTAATTTTAATGTTTTCCTTAAAGCATTTATTAGTAAATTTTCTCTTTGAAATGAAATAAATCTTTTATTTCTTATTAGTTTTCTTAAACAATTTTTGAATAGATTATGTATTATCTTGCTAATTCATTTTCAGAAGATTCATTTCCTTTTGTAATGTTATAATATAAAAACTAATAAACTTCTTTTTATATTAAATCTAATTATACTCTTTGCAAAAATGACAGTTATATAGATACTCTAAAATATAACTTTGAAGACTCTGAATATAATTGATTTTAAGTAAAGTGATAAATCAAAGAAATTGTGTCAGTAAAATTTTATTAGTGGTATTTTATTTGAATATATTTTTAATACCAAAAAGTTTTTAATGACTTACTTTCCTTAATAATTTTATTATTAAAATTAATTAATTCTAATGAAAAAAGATCCTAATCAACAAGCTATTATTCACTTTTTTAGTTGAAAATAATAAATCAAATTTGTGTTTTTTAGAGTATTTTGATTTTTTATCAGATAGAATCATTAAATTCTAATATATTTCCTAAATTCCTCTATTTTTTTAAAAATTTAATTTATTTCTTGCTTATTAATAGTAACTGATAATATTTATAAATAAAGGGCATAAGATAAATACTAATCCAATCCTATATTCAAATCTAGCCCCAATTAATATCAATGAGAAAATATTTTAAAATAATCCAAAAGATAATATGATTAAGGAAAGCATATTTAAAAAGGATTACTATTTTTAAATTTCAGTATATATATAAAAGGGGAAAATAACGATGTTTAAAATATAAACAAGGAGTATGCTCACTTCATCATTTTGTTATTTGAAATACATTGAAATAATGATCAATATAACATTCAAAAATTGATTTTTTTATAATTGTTACACTTGTAAAGGCGAGCTTTTGAAATGAATAGATTCTGAACATAAGATATTAATAAATACAAATAGTACTGAATTAAATAATAGTATCACTGTGATGACTAATATTTCTACATTTGATATTGCTGCAGTGGATGTTGTTTCAGTTATTGTAATAACATAAAAATCAAATGTATATAAAGCAAATAAATAAAAATACAATTAATATATTATCGATACTTAAGACTTGTAATTCGAATTCTCATTAGCATTTTTTTTTATTATTTCTTAATTAAACATATAATGAATAATGAATTTCTTCATAAAACCTATTGAAATAAAAAATAAGAAAAGAGTAGGAGGTATAAATGCAAAAAGCCTAAAATTTTAAAAGCGCAATAAAATTTAATATGGTCTTCCAATCTAATTCAAGTAAGAGAAACCTTATAATAAATTTAAGGAATAATTTTAATTCTTAATTTTTATTGTTTCTTCTTCATTATATAAAATTAAGCTAATCAATTATACATAAAATATCAAATGCAATACTGAAGCAATTTTTGTTGATTTAATTAAGATCTTCTAATGTTATTTCATATAATAGGTGATCACAAATTTATAAAATTGCATATTAGTTGAATTATTTTTTTATTTTAATTTGTTGGTGCATATAATAAATTTCAATTTATAAAGCCTAATATTAATGTATGTATAGGTAGTTTAAACTAGTATCTTGTCCAAACTTATTCTGAAAACAATTTAAATATTTATCCAATTACTTTTAAAAAATATCGAATCAGATAGCATTTTAGTATTAAAGATAGGATGTAAATCTTAATATGCAAAGTTTAATCTCCTTAAATAAAATTTAATTTTATTAATAATTAAAGATTTAGAAAGATAATTAAAAAGATATAATAATAATATATAATGAAACCATTTAGAATAAATAGACGTGTTACAAAAATAAGTATAATGTATAATCTGTATTTTAGATTTTGTTTTATGGAATGAATAAATTAAATCATTATGATTAATCATACTTGATGTAAGGATAATTTTAAGGGATTTAAAAGTATTCAATTGGACTATATTGCTAAGCAGTTTAGATTGGCCAAAAATTAAAGTTTGGTTAGATATAAAATGTTAAAACAGGAGGAGGAGTATACATAGATATCTTATATTAATTTATTAATTACTAAGGATTATGGTATTGAATAGAAGCTAGAATTAAATTATTTATCTAAATTTAGATATGGCTATTATTCTTAGAAGATTTGAGTTTAATAGTTTAATTATTAATCATATTCTTCCTATTAATCATACTTTAGATGGGATGCTTAGATTTTAGTTTAAATTTTTGATATTTTTGAATCAGATTGACAGATGTAGTCAAGGTTAGATTATTTATTAGTTTCTAAAGATTATAGATCTTGTTTAGGGGTTTAATTGAGAGTTATTCCACATTTTTAAGAAATATAATTATTGCTAAAATAATGAAAATGTGAAATACTTTATGGCAAATAGTTTATTTAGCATTTTTTTAATATGATTAATATTTTCTTCAGGAAGCATTCTTAATTCAGATTTCTGAGTGTGTCTGTATTCTTTGATCATGTTTTTAAATTCATTTTTCATATTTTCATCAATATTAAAGCTTTTTAAAGAATCTTCATTACAATATATTATACCCAAAACACTAGGTTTAATTTATTTAAGTAAATCTGAAGCTAAAAGACAATCATAAACTAATTACATTAATCTAATCCTACTGCTTTACTGAGTCGACGTAAAACCTTTCTCAAAGTAGCATAAAAATAGTTTTTACATAATAAATCAGAACGACCAGTCATTTAAGAAGCTATCCTAGCCCAACTGTTACCAAAAGATTATTAAAGATTGAATAATTTTTCTTCTTCTTCATCTGTCCATACACTTTTATTCAAATTAGGGTTAAGAATGTTTTAGTATCGTTCTCTACAAGATGCTGGAGTACGTATTTTTGTTAGATTCTTCATTTAAGATTTAAGTTCAATAGCTATTCTATTCCAAGATGCACAACCATTTAGTTTGATAAGTTCTAATAAGAGTTTATCTTCCTAAAAAAATATATTCATAGATTACTTGATAGGTCCAACTCTATCTAGTTTCTGAATGTTTAGATTACATGTTACTAAGTAACTAGGCTAGTTTAATTTAAAATATAAGATATAATTTATATAAAAAAAAAGTTTTGTTAACTAAAAAATTTATTTAAGATATAAATAATTTAGAATGTTCGAATTTTCAATAATCAATTATCTCTAATTTATTTATCAAAATGGTGAAGGATCAAATTTATTTGACCAAATTGTTTATCATTTATTTATTTTGAAAATCTTGCCTCTAAAGTTTTAAATTAATTTACAAAAGCATTAAATATTCAAGTTTCCTCATTAAATTATAAAAAATATTCATATCCATTATAAATTGTCGAATTTATTTAAAAAAATTCACTAAAAATAAATTTTGTTTATTATTAATAACAAATATACATCATAATACTAATTTTTATTTATATTTTTATTATTTTAATTTCTTTAAAGAATTATGGAAGCCTAAAATTGTAATTAATCTAAATTTAAACTTAGAAATAACTAAAGCAGTAATAGATGGATTCGAAAATTTATTATTAACTTAACCTTAATTTAATTCATAAAAGAAGAAAGTATTTTTAGAAGATAACATAAAATATGGAAAGGAGATTGAAAGAGATTACAATAAATTATAAGATATAATAGATGTATTATAAATTTAGAAATTTGATTAGAATTTATAAGGCAAAGTGGATAAAATAATTAAATCACAAGAAGATGATTTTATGATTGCTTACAAAGAACAAATGACAGAAATATAAAAAGAATTAAAGACTATGAAAAGAAAAATAGATGAAGAAGCTCTTCGATAAAAAGCTGATGAAAAAAAAAGAATTTTAGAGGAAGAGAGAGACTATTTCAGAGAAGAGGCGTTGAGATTAGATAAATTATGCTAAGAACAATTAAGAACTATTGAAGAATTGAAGTTTAAATTGAAAATAACTTTAGAAGAAAAATAATATTATGAAGGCTTTGTTATTGGTATATATGTTAGTATTAAGAAATTAGATTCTAAAAAAGAAAATAAAGCTTTAAAATATGAACTTCTTTATTTATATAAATAAAAAAGTGAAGAATAAAAAATAGGGTAAAGAGTAGGTTCAGTTGGTAATGTAAATCCAAGAACAATCATTAAAAAAAATATTGATTATAGACCATTTACTTAAGAGGGCACTCAAATGACTGCAACTAAAGATGAGTTAGGAGAAGGGTCAAAACGAGATTTTTCATCAGTAAAATAAGGATAAAAAACATAATTATCGAGTAAGATACAAGATTATGGATCATCTTAACATGATTTTTTTAGAAGAGATCTATCCTCCTAATAATAAAGTAGATATAACCAGGATATACAATAAGTATAAAAAATTATTTATTAGATTGAAGAAACTACTAAAAAAGATTTGATTTAAGAGCTTAAATCATAATTATAAAAAGAAAAATAAATTATTTAATAGTTGAAAGTAGAGTTATCAAAACAAAATTGTGTAAAAGGAGAATTAGAATAAATATTATTAGATTGTGTAAATGAAATGAAAAAAGAAGTTCATTATCGTTAAAGTTAATAAAAATAATTTTTAAATCACAGATTTTCAGATCCATAACCGAATTTAGATGGTGAAATGAATTTCTCTTAATTCACTCATACTGATAAGATGTATTTAATTCAAATATTCTTAGATAATTATTAAAAAGATATATTGGAAGTGAAGAATTTTTAGAATAATTATATCATATCACTTTCAATAATTAGATGTAATTATCTACATCATTAAAATTAAATGAGAAATGGAAAATGGATGCAGATGAAGCTGCCAAAAAATTTAATAATTTTAAATAATTTAAGTTTAAGAACATCACAAGTCAACGTAAAATTTAATATAACTTTAGCGATTTTAAAAACTTCTCTAATAAAAAGGTAAGACAAAGAGATTGAATAAATTTCAAACAATTTCACTGAAAAAACGAAAGGGCTAATCGACAAAATCATAAAGAGTTGAAAGATTTTAATTTTGATTTATTTGTTAATATAAATCATTATGCAACTAAATTAAAATTAATTGTTTCATTATGAATAACCTCCCAATTACCTAATTTTAATTTGTTTGTGTTTTAAAGACATTTTTCTATTGGTTTGTTCTTTTCATCATTTAAATAAATGACTAAATCTAAAGTTTACTGCACTACTGGAGGTATAACTTAAGCTTAAGTAGTAGTATCTAATAGATTAAAATTAAATGAACTTACCTAAAAATAATGCAGGATTGGTATTCATTTCTATGAGATAAACTTTCAAATTTGTATCTATCATTATATCACATCCCATCATTTCAAAAGTTCCTAATCTTTTTTCAAACTTATCTGCTGCACATCTAATGATATGAGCAAATATTCTCTTCATTTACAAATAAATTTTATCAATTTAATCTTATGTTACACTCATTTTTTCTTTTAAATATTACTTTTTAATTAATATAGAGAAATACTTCGAATTATTGCATAGACCAAATGGTTGATTCTTTAGATGAACTAAAAGAAGGATGTTTTTTTTAAATAGCAGCATTAGTTAAGTGTTTATATCGATTTTTTTCATCATCCATATCTTCAACATTATATTTGTCTACAGATAAACGTAAATAACCATGTTAAAATAATACAAATAAGGGTCTCGAAGTAGCAATTAAAACATAACATCTAATATCAAATTTACGACCATCTAGTAATAGAGGATTTTAAATATATTTTTAGACTATACATTTTCGAAGATTTGGAGTGAAAACACCATTAGGTAAAAAACCTTTTGATGCTTTTATGGAATTTGATATTTATTTTAGTCTAATTACAATAAAATCTTACTTTTAAAATTCTTATTTAAGTTTTTTTGCATTTGAACATAATTTTATTCCTCTTCCACAATTAAAATAAGTTGGTTTTATTATCCAAACAGTTGAATTATCTGTTTTCAAAAATTGATCTTCCTCATTACTTAAAAATTCCTAAGTCAAATCAATTCTATATGTTTCAGGAAAGAAATGCGATGAATTGAATTATAATTCTAAATCAATCAAACAAATTACATTTATTTTACCTTTCATACTCTTTCATAGTTTAAATGATAAGTTATTTAGATGTAAGAATCATATGATTAGGTAAATGATTAATTATTTACTATCCCTCTTTAAAATATTAGAATTGAATTTCAGAATTAGTTTGAACCCATTTCAAATAAAAATCATTTGATGACTTTCCATTTTCTGCATCTAAAAGTTTCCATCCTCTAAAAAATCAATTAATGATTCTTATTACGATTATTGAGATAAATAATTTGAGATTAATTTGCCATTATTGCCAGGACCAACAAAATAATATTTCAAACATAAAGCCTTCTTATTTAGAGATTTTTTTTTCGGATCTTCTGTCTACGATCTTATCTTCTTTGAACTCTAACTTTTTTTAATCTTTCTTCCTCTTTATGTTTGTTACATTCCTGATTAATTATATATAATAAAAATATACTTTAACTTTAATGCAATTAAAGTGTGCAGAATACTTAAAAGAAGCTGTATTTATAATACTTATTTACTAAGGTAACTACTAATAATGAATAAGCCAGATATACATTTATGTCAAAAGCATGTAAATAAATTGCTTAGTTATTGCCCTTTCAATCTATGTGGCATTTGCTATTAAAATAAGATTAGTTGTTTTTTTATATGTTGATGTTATAATCAATGTTTGGATAGAATATCAAAATGCTATTAGAATTAATAATAGAAAGATTTGCTCCTATAACTTAGTTCCAAATTTAATTTCTTAATGCATGTTCATAAATATTCTAACAGGACATTAATTTTCTATCAGATGTTATGAAAAGTCATATATCAGGAATTTTTAAAGAATGTATAGTCTAACTATAATTCTTTATAAAGCAAATTCCAAAAAATGATTCTAAAGAAGGTTAGTCAGTTGCAGAATAAATAACATAAGCTTATAAGGCAATTTTGTAGAATATTCATGATGAGAAAGTTACTTTAGAGCTTTACAATAGTTTCCAGGGGATTGTAAATAAATGGCCATTGATACATGAATTAAATCCATTAATTTTTCATGAGATTGAAGAAATAATAGCAACAAGAACCCCAAGAAATGTTGAAATATAAATTATTGAAGATTATCTCGAATGTGAATCTCCAACAAGATCTAACTCTATCAGAAAAGAAAATTAAGTTGTTGTTGAATTATAGAGATGGTTGAGTAAACTAAATTATCCTATTCCTGTTATCTCAAAAAAAATTGCTAGCAGTGTAATTAATTCATAAAATATGTTCAAATTAAAAGATAATTTAGAAATCATGTTATCTTTTATTTATTGTCCTTTGAAATATGAACCAGCTAGTTGTGTAAAATTTTTGATAATTTAAGTGGTCTAGAATAGAATTAAATAAAACTATCAATCAGAAAGATATTCCAAATTTAAAAGATTGTTTTAATCTAAATTCACCAGCCCATTTATATCATATTCGTTCCATCCGATCTTTGTAAAGTTTAACTGATGATGAGAATCACTCTATTATTGCTAAAGTTAATCCAGCATATTTAAAAATTGCTTGTATTTAAATATCATTTTATTTAATTAGTTTCCTATCTTTCTAAATGTTTTGATGAAGACTAATTAAAATACTGTAATTTTAACCATTTAACTTAATTGCTCACATTTTATCTAGAAAAAGAATAAGATATTTCAGTTTACTTTATTTTATATTACAATATCCCTTATGCATTCTTTTATTATATAAATTATGAGTAAGCGTCTTCTTTTTTAATCCACTTATTTACATAAATTAATTTGATGACTCATAATCAATCGGAACATACATAATTGTTATATGAATAAGTTTGGAATTATTTTAAAGCTGCTAATTTATTTACTGATTTAATTAATACTCTGTTTAATCCAACTTAAAAGAGTGGATTTATACTAAAATGTTCGTAAGACTTTAGAAATAATTAAATGATAGAAGTCTTTAAACTTAATCCAGATTTTTAATTGAAAGAAAAGATATATTAATAAAATGACAATAACAATTTTAATTATATTTTGGAAGAAAAAATACATCTAAAATGGGATATTGATTAACTTAAGCACTTTATTCATAAAAAAACTATTAAATAACTCTCCTTTTTCAACAAATCTATAAATAATATCATACCATTAACAATTGAAAAACCTGCATCAATGATGGATGTAATTAGAAAGGCAATTTAAAATGTTGAAACTGTTTCTGAACCACATAAAAAAAAGTAAATAAATACAGGAAGAGAAAGATTAATTGTTCTTCGAAGTGCATCACTTATGTTTGATTTAGAAGAATAAGATTAAGTTAAAGATCCATTTCTTCCATATGATTATAATCCTAATCCATTAGAATTAAGATTAGAAACTAAAGAGAGTAATAATAAATTTGATTAGAAATCTCAAACTTTAATGAAGGACAGTTAAAAAAATCTTTTTTAGAAGCATTCAAGAAATTAATCATTTTAATTATATCCTTTATCCTTAAATGATATTATTTAAGGAAAGTGGGATTAAGAATAATTATCATCTCAATTTTAAATTGAAAAGTATAATTTTTTTTAATCCTTAGCTTAATCAAAGATGAACCCTTCTGCTATAATTTAACATAATTTCTGTCAATTTTAATTTAACATTTAATATTGGCAAAACATAACTTAATTTAGAAAAAAAATTGTACTATTGAAAAAAGAGAACAATATTTGGGAATAATATTTTAAGAAATTAATACATCAGTATTTGACAATTTGATCAAAGTATCATCTTTTAAATATTTAGATATATTTATTTAAAATTAAAATTAGTCCATATGTCAAAGAAAATAGTGCTATATTATGTGGAAAGCTAGTAAATTTCATCTTAAAATAAAAACCTGATTATGTTAATTTTCAAGATAATGGTCAGATTTATGTAGATTATTTGTGTAAAATAATAATTAATTCATTATCTTGGAAAACCTAAAATGATGCAAAAATAGAATTAGACATTAGTAAGATTCTTTTATTGGAAACTTTATGTTTATTAATAGAAAATGGAGTATAACGAGGATAATTAAATTTACTAAATAGAATAACTGCTACGACATGGAGTTGTCTAATAGAAATATGTAAACATTATCTTGCAATAAGACCGAATTAAATATATTAAGGGCTTTTTTTGAGAATATTAAAATTAAATATGGAATTTGGTTCAGATTTTAATATACACACTATCTTTATGAAATTAAATTTATTAAGTATTCTCAAATAACTTTCAGAACTAACCTAATAAAATGGAGTCCCTAATAAAAGATTTAGCTATCTGAATTAATTTATAAAATCTGCATGCTCTCTCTTATAGTAATATATCAATAAAAATTCATCAAAAGAATGCTTTAAAATAATCTAAAACCTCGATTCATGGAAGCTGTTAAAATAATAATACAGAATACATTCTCATTATCATGCTAGCAGTTTTTATAGCGTAGATTCAAGAGTTGGAAACAATTCGACTCCAGCAACCAATCAAAGTTTAGCAAAAATTAGAATTCGAAGATCTACTCATTCTAAAATTTAAAAAGAATGATACCTTAATCATTAATTTTATGCAAGTAATTATCAAAAATCTTAAAATCAATTAACATTTTTTCCATAAATTTGTATTCATTCTTTTATTATTTAATTAACCTATTTATTAGATTGTATTATATTTTTGGAAATTTCTAAAATTTAGTTTTGCTTATTTTTAGTTAATTAACTTAATACTTTAATTTTCTTGTAATTATAGTTCAATTTTTATTTTTTAAACTTATTTGTAACCTCTTTCTAAGATTATAAATTTGATTTAGTAAATGTTTGTTTTGTATAATTTAGCTTTTACAATAATTTATTTTGCTCTTCTATTTTGAATAAATATTTAAATTTAGATAAAATTTATAGGAAAAATAATATTTCAAATTAAAGCTTTATTTTCTGAATTTTTTTAGGTATGAATGATTCCTTTCACAATACTATTAATCGAAGCATAATTTTTAGGAATTTCAGCACCTTTAAATCGAGAATATGATTTAATTTCTGGTTTCAGTTTAAGAGCCACTACTCTTTTCATTGTTCTCTCCAAAGCAAGTAATTAGTAATACGAATTAAATTGTGATTTTTTTGATACTAAATCATGCTTTAATTTTTCTTGCTATTATTTTTGATCTTTCTCATATTGTAAATAAAATACATCCTTCTTTAACTTTATTAAGCTATTATGGAACATAAACTTCTTTAATTTCTTTTATCCTCTTAAACTTTTCTTCAGTATCAGTTGAAACTAACTCATTAAAATATTTTTTTCTCAAATCAGAAATCATATTTAAGGTTAATTACCCAACATCTACCTCTCTTGCTTATTTCTAAATTCTATAAAAATTGTACTTCTAATAATCTAAGTCTTTATTCTTCTTCCCTTTTCTTTCTCATAATTTCATCTTAATTTATCCTCTATTAAATTTGAATGATAATTTTTCTCTTTTTTGAGAGATCATCTGATTTAATAGTTTTCCTTTATTATTTTTGTATGGATTTATTAGATAAAGCCATTTGCATAATTTCTAATTTAGTTTAAGGAATATGCTCATCCTGATTTCTAATTAGTATTTTTTACTAAATACATATACAAATTGTCAACATGAAGATAACTGGTTTTTAGTTTTGTTTTTTCTGATAATAATGATTAAATTGATTCAGTAGGAGTAAATGCAGTGTTTTATTAGAGGATACCTAAAATCTGTTATTTACTTGGAGGTATCATAGTGTTTTCATTTTAATATTTTTTCAATCCATCTTCCAAGGTATCAATTTAATTAGATAACTCTTATAAAACTTCTTTTGCATTTTACTTGTAAGGATTAAGAATCTTTTAGATTTATTGAGTTGTTAATTTTCGAAACAAGTTTGAATTATAAACATTCTAATAAACGATTTCATTATCTTTTTCCTATAGTTCTTCAATTAATTACATATAATAGATATAAATTATTAATAATTAAATTTTTCAATATTCTCTTTCCCTTTATTTAATAACTTCCTAAACTTCTGTAACTTTCTTGGTCTTCTTGTGATTTTCTCCATACTGCATAAGAAATTCTTAATAAGCCAATCCCATATAATGTCTATATTGTTCTTCATTATTGAGTTTTTTGTAAACAAAAGCTTAAGCTTATAAGTTATATGTGATTGGCATAATATATAATTTGGTGCTATTTTCATCAACATGTTTTCTGAAATATTCTAATATAATAAAGAAATAAAACCTTCAATTTATTTAAGGACTTACAAAGCCTCTTTGAAATTAACATCTTCTGGAAGATTTTCACTTGAGGGAGTTCCATATTAATAATATCTCTTTAAATATTTATACCAACATTAGGAAGTCTAGAATTATGGAAATGAAACATACTTTTGCATAAAATTATTCAGCTTCTGAATTTTATTTCTTTTACTAGAAAATTTATCCCATATAATAATAATTCAGACTTGTCAATGGATGTTCGGGATCAGAACTGCAAGAATCAGTGTAAATCTATACAGAAATTAGAGTGAATTAATACTCCAATTGTTAATTCTGTTAATGCTTTTTTGTAATCCTTTTAAGCAAAATAGAGTTTTGAAAATATTTTATGCAACTGACCATTATACTCTGCATTCTCCTTTTCTGATATATCTTATCCCATTTTGTTACCATCTTCACTTCCTTTTTCTTTTGGTTTATTATATTAATATAGATNTAGTTTAAGGAATATGCTCATCCTGATTTCTAATTAGTATTTTTTACTAAATACATATACAAATTGTCAACATGAAGATAACTGGTTTTTAGTTTTGTTTTTTCTGATAATAATGATTAAATTGATTCAGTAGGAGTAAATGCAGTGTTTTATTAGAGGATACCTAAAATCTGTTATTTACTTGGAGGTATCATAGTGTTTTCATTTTAATATTTTTTCAATCCATCTTCCAAGGTATCAATTTAATTAGATAACTCTTATAAAACTTCTTTTGCATTTTACTTGTAAGGATTAAGAATCTTTTAGATTTATTGAGTTGTTAATTTTCGAAACAAGTTTGAATTATAAACATTCTAATAAACGATTTCATTATCTTTTTCCTATAGTTCTTCAATTAATTACATATAATAGATATAAATTATTAATAATTAAATTTTTCAATATTCTCTTTCCCTTTATTTAATAACTTCCTAAACTTCTGTAACTTTCTTGGTCTTCTTGTGATTTTCTCCATACTGCATAAGAAATTCTTAATAAGCCAATCCCATATAATGTCTATATTGTTCTTCATTATTGAGTTTTTTGTAAACAAAAGCTTAAGCTTATAAGTTATATGTGATTGGCATAATATATAATTTGGTGCTATTTTCATCAACATGTTTTCTGAAATATTCTAATATAATAAAGAAATAAAACCTTCAATTTATTTAAGGACTTACAAAGCCTCTTTGAAATTAACATCTTCTGGAAGATTTTCACTTGAGGGAGTTCCATATTAATAATATCTCTTTAAATATTTATACCAACATTAGGAAGTCTAGAATTATGGAAATGAAACATACTTTTGCATAAAATTATTCAGCTTCTGAATTTTATTTCTTTTACTAGAAAATTTATCCCATATAATAATAATTCAGACTTGTCAATGGATGTTCGGGATCAGAACTGCAAGAATCAGTGTAAATCTATACAGAAATTAGAGTGAATTAATACTCCAATTGTTAATTCTGTTAATGCTTTTTTGTAATCCTTTTAAGCAAAATAGAGTTTTGAAAATATTTTATGCAACTGACCATTATACTCTGCATTCTCCTTTTCTGATATATCTTATCCCATTTTGTTACCATCTTCACTTCCTTTTTCTTTTGGTTTATTATATTAATATAGATTCCAATAAGCAGCCTGAAGAAATTCTTCAGCTTTTTTTAATTTTCCTTCTGCTATATATGCTTCTGCCTAAATAAATAACCCAGGAAGAAGAAGAACACTATTTTCACCACCTAAAATCTCTTTATACTCAATCATTGCTTTATGAACTTCTTCTGTAGCCTTTTTTATTGCATTAAAGTTACATTCAGCTTGTTCTCTAGTATTGCTTAACGAGCTTATTCAACAATTTTTTTGAGAGCTTCTTTTGCATCTTCTTTACTCTTTTGTGTCTTATTTTTATCTTTTTCCTTTTCTGGAATTTGAGATTCCTTTAATTTTTAAGAGGAATTCATATTAATTATTTATCTCTTTATTTGATAATAGTTAAGATTAAGTGAAAATCAATGTATAACAAAAATTATATCAAATATATAACCTCATTTTGAGAAACTTTTCTTCTTTTATTATTACCATCACCATTCAAATTTATTTGCTAAACCAATTATTCATATCTATCATTGAGAACTTGCATATCTCTTAATAATTTTATCATTTCTGATATAATTAATTCTCCACCTTGATCTTTATTAATTTGTGTGAAAAGCAAAAGAAGCTTATTAAAGTATTTCTTTTAGTCAATTCTTGCTATAAGGAATTATATTTTAATATAAAAAAAATCAATTTTAGCTCTAAATAATCTATTTTTTTTTAATAATTGTTTGCTTCAAAAGGCAAATGACATGTGAAAATAAAAAATATTAAGCCCAATAAATATCTGATTGAAAAGTGATCATTCTTTAAGGACTTCAGGATATTTGAAAGACAATTTTTGAACAGTTTTTTTTTTCTTTCCAAAGAGGAAAACTCTCATTAAAATTAATTTGATATTCAAAATCCATTAATTTAACTTTTTCTAAAATTCTATTTGTAAATAGAATATGTTTTAAACAAATATCGCTTAATACTATTAAAAAATATACCTATGTATTATTAAATTATGAGACAAGTATAAAATCAATAATATATATTTAATAATATTAAACTGCAGCCATAAACTAACTAAAAATATTAATTTTATAATGTTGCTGTAATTGACTGAATCTATCCAATTATGTTAAAAGATCTCCAGCATTTGCAAAATTAAATTTCTTTATTATTCTACTTTAAGTATTACTTTTTGAGATCCCCTAACTTATGTAGTTTCAAATAGCTAATATTTTTTACAGAATCTGTGTTTTAAAATAACTTTGCTCCAGGAAGAACAGCAACTCATTAAGTTGGTATTTAAAAATACTAAAAAAATAATAATATTAAATTATTATAATGCTAACAATAACCTCAGATGACAAGGGAACATATTATATAAAAACGCAATAAGAGATTGAATTAGTAAAAAAACAACTCTAAAAACTAAAGCCCAATTGTAATTCTTATTAAATAAAAAGTAGCTTAGACATCATCATTTCTATAAAATTAATATAACTAATTAAGTGATTAGTTGAAAAGTCTTGAAGATAAATTGTAAAATGTAAACTAAGCATTTTATGATCAATTAATAAGCAATTTTGATAACACTGTTTAAAAGTTACCAAATGTTAATGATAGTATGTTATGAATAAATTAGGAAACTTTTAACCGCAATTCTATACAAATTCTTAAAATAATATGTATCAGTAAGTTCAATTGCCATTTATTGACTAATTTTTGAATGTACGCACACTCCCATAAGTGAGGTATAAAAATGATTTAAAATAAATTAAGTGTAGAACCATTAGGTAAATCAACATTAAAACCAAAAGGATTACATTCGGTTAAAAGTGCAATATAATGTAAGTAAATATTTAAAGATGATTTAATTTAGTCACTCGTAAGTTTTAATCAAAAAAACAATCTTAGTAATAATTGAGTAAAGTTGATGATCTAACTTTATATAAGAAAGGGATTACAGAGCTTGTAAACTAAGGTACGATTAAAAAATAAGACATCAATACTTTATTAAATCAAAACAATATTGCTTTTAGAAATTAATAAGCGAAGTATTACACATTAGATATTCTATAGTTTTTTTGATTTTACAGATTAATATGGGAGTAAAATTGTTTAACTTGAGAGTTAATCATCTTAGAATATATATAAAACTGATTTGAAGAAGAATGTCATTTAGACAAATACTTAGAATTAAAGTCAGCAATAAGTTTAAGAAAATAATAAAGTCAATTTTAATTATTAAAAAAAAATGAGCATTTAAAGTAAATAAAAACCAAAATATGTGGATGCTAAGGAAGCAACATCATTATCAAAAGAGCATGAAAGACCAATTTCAGAATAATTATAAAATTTAAGTACTCAAGCAGAATATCTTATACATGTTAAAAATGGATTATTATAGACAGATTAATTATAATATGTTTAATTTTAAAATAGATATTATGAAAATTGGAGTAAGATAGAACCAATTTTGATTAGTTTATAGAAGATAGCATAATCAACATCAATTTAGGATTGTAGAATACTTGGTTCAAAAGTGTAGAAATTATCTTAAGAGTTTGATAGAAGTTCAGTTTTTACAATGGCAGAGTTGCTTTAATGTTTTGAGAATTGGGAAGATTTATAAAAAATATTAAAGGTTCCAACATTATTATATAAATCAAAAGATGGTAAAATATAAGCAGCAAATAAAATTTCTGCATATTTTAGAGGCTATTAAGCTAGAAAAAATTATTATAGATTGAAGATTATGGTAGAAAAAGTTGTTATAATTTAAAGATCAATGAGAGTGTCATTATTTAGAAAAAAAGTTCAAAAATAGATAATAAAAAATAATAATTTTATGCTTGAGAGATTTAAAAATAGATAGAATGTATTTAAAGAAGAATGGCCATATTTGAAAATATAACAAAGATTTGAGATTCATTTAAATTCATTTTCATTTGAAGAAATTAAAAGATTGTCAATGGATAAATTTCCTTAGAGATAGAATACTTAAATAACAAGAATATTTAATTTAAAAGATCCACTTGTTCATATAATATATATAGCTCCATTTGATTTACCTAGTGAATTGATTGATTACTTTTACAAAATTTTAAATCTTGGAGACATTTCTGATTGTAAAAATAGATTACACTTTGTTTGGCCTGTATAAATATAAATTATAATAGGAAAATCATAATATCTTTAACAATCATATGGGATTGTCTCAATTACTTTATTATTCACCTAGAGCATTAAAAAGAATTAAAAATTTAATTAGAGGATAAGCAGCATTTATTGTACCTGGAGTCTGTTCTAATGATGATATTAAAATATCTGATATTCTAAATATTCCTATATTTTCAGGGATTCCTTAATTACATTAATATTATTCAACTAAATCAGGTTGTAAAGTTTTATTTGATGAATTACAAATGCCTCAACCTCCAACTATCAGAAATATATATGACGAAAAAGAATTAATTAACTCTTTGTCAGTTTTAATAATTAAAAATCCTATAATTAATACATGGATAATAAAGGTAGATGATGAATCATAAGGAAGAGGCATTGCTTGGTTAGAAGTCTAGAAAATGATCAAAAAAATATAACCTCTAGAAATCAATTAGTTAGCATAATTATTGACAAAGAAAATTAAAAAAAAATTACATTATGCTTTTCCTCATTTATATGGTGGATATCATGAATTTATTATGAGTATAACTAATAGAGGAGGAATAATTGAAGGAGCACCTTTAAATAGATTATCTTAAATACATTCTATTTCATATAACTTTAAAATAGAGCCTAATGGAGAGATTTCTTTATTGGGTTCTTATGAAAAAATTAAAACTAATGAAATTTAAACAATTGCATCTGTAAATCCATAATCTTATTTGAAAATTAATCAAGAAGTGTTATGTCATCAGATTGCTTAAAAACTGTATAGTAAAGGTTTAATTGGATATTTTACTATTGATACTATTGGATATTAATAAGAAAATAATAAGTAGGGATTTCAGATTATTGGTTTGGATTGCTTTTTAAATCAATATAGTAGTGCCTCTATATACTTTGATTTTCTAATGAGAGGCAGATTAGATGTTTCTACAGGTAGTTATTATGTAGAAGATACAAACAGATAAGCCAATGTAAGATATTCAGTTTATTGTCCTACAATAATGAATGAAGGATTGGATGTATTATAATATAAGACATTCTTTTAATTATGCAGATTGGAATCAATCTCATTCAATTTAGAAAAAAAGATTGGATCTACTTTTATACTTGTGGACTCATTATAAAGTGGTGTGATTAGTCTAATGACAGTTGGCATTAATTCTCCTCAGGTTATAAAGTACATGATTGATGCTATTGCTTTTATATAGAAAAATGTTGGAAGAGGAACTGAGCAAATTTAGATTAATACCAGGTAATGATAATAATGATTTAATTTAGAACTGATAGAGTCAATATGATGTCGATTCATTAAAAACTTAAGACTATGTTAAAAAGATTGGAAGGAAGTGAGTACAAAATTCAAAATAGCTAATATTTATGATTATTATTACATTAATATGAGTTCCGTTTAAAAAGAATTGCAGATTTCAAATTGTAGTGACCGTGGACTAGATTACAATGGTTCATGCTAATGTGATTTAGGCTTCTTTGGGGTTGAATGTGAATTGAAATTAGAAGAACTTCATATAGCCACTTATTACACTTTCATAGGATTCTTTTTAATCCTCTTTACATTGCTACTTCTTTTTACTATAAAACAATTTTAACTATCACTGAAAATGAATAAAATACCTTCCTATCAAAAGTATGAAATAAATTCAATTATCAATAGAGGATGCAATTACATAAAGAATGTTCTTGGATCGCCATTAAATTGCATTTTATGTCTAACAATTTTATTTAGTGTTCTCAAGATTATATGGTTAGCTTTAGACCCTTTTTAATTCTATGTACATATTATTAAAATTGTTCATTATTTTAGGATTACAATGAAAGAGTTTGCGAAAGAATTCTTGCAGAAGTAGTTTACACCATCTTATTTTATATATATGGGATTTTGTTGATGGTTTGGTATACTATGTATGATGAAATTTCATTTAATATCTCTGAGAAAAAAAAAATTAATTTAGATTAACAATCAGCTCCCAAACCAGAAAAAAGAAAATTAATATTTACTTATTACAAGGATATTATGAAGATAAGACTCTTCCTAGTATTAATTGTTTAATTGAGTGTCAGTACATTAAATGGTAATTTTAAACCTTTAATTAGGATTAAGATTAGGACAATAGTATAAAACTATTTTATATATTGCATATGTAGTGTTATTATTAAATTTTATGTAATTAAGTATGATAAGTTCTAGTTCATTTATTTTTGAATTTCTTTTATATGGTAGATCATTAAATCAGTGTATAGAATAGCAACTAAAAAGATTAGATTTAGACAATAGAGAATAAGAAAAAGAGGAGAAATTAAAATTAGCTTTAAATAATTAATAAGTACTTCTATTGTGTTTTATATCAAAGATTATTCTATCAAAAACTTAATTGATGATTTAATAAGATGATCCATTATAATCACCAGCTACACCTGATTAATAAATCTTAAGATTGAGTTCTTTAAGTGCAAGTGATGAAAGTCATGAATAAAAGGAAACATCTAGAAATATTATTTAACTTGATAAATTATAACCTCCATCTTTAATTAAAAAATAAGTAACATTTAGATCACCTCAAAATATTCCAACTTAATAAAATACTGAAGTAAAAAAAGAAGTTTAAAAAAATTTAATGAAAACTATTGTGAGTGAAGAATCTCAAAATTCACTTAATGTTGATGAAGGTTTTAACCATTAAAAAGTTAATTCTTGTTTACTGAATGAAGAGGATTTTGATTAAATCAACTTAAAATGGAATATATAAAAAGAAAGATCTAATGTTAAGAAAATAAAAAAATAGTAGATTAAAATTGTAGAAAAAACTAAATAATAAGTTAATGAAAATAAAAGATAAAAAAAAGCAACTCTAAAAAATAATGCTAAAGATGCAATTCATTTAGATTCTTTTTAAAATGAAGATGATAAAAAAATAAAAAATTAATTAGCTCAAGCATATTAAGATGAAATGGTTGCTCAATAAAAGTAAATTAGAACTGCAAATCTAAATGCCGATAAAAAGGTTTTAGCTAAAATATAGATGCTTATTTATGCTGGAGTATTACTAGAGATTTGCTTTGGAGCCTTATCTGTAGTTATTTTATTAACGGATTTACTAAAATAACCTGTAGGTTAAATTGATTCTTATTTTAGGAACTATTTGTTATTTGTATATCTCAGCTATGCTTCAATTCTTATCTTTGATTACTGTCTTGAAACTCTTTCGAGATGTTAAAAGCCAAGAAGTCTTGAATCTCATTTGGATACAGAAAGTAGGAAATAGAAAAAATAAAATTAATTAAAAGTATTTTTTTACAATTCCCCTTGAATAAACAAGATAGGATGAATCCAAAAGAAGATTTGAGTAAAGAATCAATATGCATATAAGGTGATAATTTTATTATTAATCTGTATTTATTTATACTTATAGAAAACATAGATTAATTAATTATTTTCATTTAATCTCATTATCACTAAATTTTATTAAATTATTAGATTAATATTAACTTAATTGCTCTGGATTCTTTATTAATCCCATTGATTATTTTACAATTCTAGTAAGTTTCTTAGAACTTGGTCTATTCTGTAATAACATACTTTTAAAACGATTATCTATAAGTGCATCACTTCCATTATCAAATATATATGTTAATCCTAATTCATGATAAAAATCATTTCTAATCATATTTTTAAATATTACTCATAAAATTACACTAAATTAGGGCGAAATCTCTGATTATCTTTTAATTTATTATATTCATAAATCATTTATTCTTTATTATATTTAGGATAATAGCTATGAAAATCAGCTCCCTCTTCAAAATTATTTATTAACATAAATTAAGACTCTAACTATTATAAAATTAAAATGAATATACCTTATTTTGTTGTTCTCTTTATTCTTTTTCTTTCTATTATTAGTTATAAGCATTTAAAAGTTAATCTAATATTTCATTTTAAGTCTTAATTTCTTAATAAGTTAATTTTTCTGTTTATTTATCTTCTCCTTCATCATCAAAATCAGATGAAGATACAGTCTAATAATCTGAATATTATTAATTATCATCCTCTTCTTCTTCTTTAAATTTCGAAATTACTTTCATCGATGTAGCTACACATTTAGTTTAAGGAAATTCACATTATATGATTTACTCTTCTTAATTAAATGTTTTCTAATGGATCAAAATACTAAATTCTAAGACTGAAAATGTATCATACTTTTCAAAATTTCTTAACTTATCATTTATTAAGCTTTTAAAGATTTTATCTTCATTTCTTATTCAGTAATATAAGCTTTCATTTTTCGATACTTAGTTTTATCTTCTCTAAATCTTGATTTAAAAGGACCTAATCTAGGAGGTTAAGCAAATTTCTATTAGAGTTCTAGTTTTTCTTCGATAATTTATCCATTTTCATTATCCTCCATCAAATTGCATTCATCATATTAAGCCATTAATTTTTAAGCAAGATTAGAAGAAACTTAATTTACAGTCTTGAATATAGATAAAATAAACAATTACAAATTTAACAATATTTTTATGTCGAAGTGCATGTATATAAACTCTATCATTTCTTTCATATAGACTTTGCATTTTCTTTTAAAAATTGGTTTTAAATTAACAATATTGCTATTATTCAACAATAAAATGCATATCTGGACAATCAATAACTGTATGATCATCTCTAAGACAACCATAACAAAATACATTAATAAGATGATAAGCTTTATTGAAAATAATTTCATCTTTGATTTAATGAAATTTTTCCTAAAATATAAATAATAAGATACTAAATCAATTTAATTGGATTTTAATAATTGAGTAAATAAAGTCTTATCAATATAGACAAGCGATGAATAATTAACACTTCTTGCAGAAGCAGTTCTAGAGAGTCCAGTAAAGAATCCAATTTCACCAAAATAATCTTTTTATTCTAATTTATTGAGTTTCTGAGTATTTCTTTATAAGATAATTTCAATATTGCCACTCTAAATGAAATAAAGATGTTTTTCAGTAGCAATTGATTCATTTTCAAAAAAGATAAATTCTTCAGGTAAAGCAGTAAATTATTTGAATGTTTTGGTAACCTACTTAAGGAATGTTTTTTAGAAGTTAATTCTTAATGGAGGACAATATCCAAGAATAGTACCATTTACTTATATTTCAAATTCAAATTTGAGAGCATATGATAGATTATCAGTAATATGTTCAAGATTAAAGATGGCTTCTTGTTCCCAAATATAAGTAAGATATTTTTTAACTTTGTTTTGTAATGGGACAGGTATTTAAAGTTTTTTCATGTATTTTAAAATTTGATTAGATTTCTTTCTGATTTCTGCTTTTTTATCTTCCATTCCTTATAGTGATGAGCCAATGCTATTAAGAGTAACTGAAAAGACAACAGTAGCAATCATAAGAAAGAAGATTCCGAAAAGTCTTTCTAAAGGAGTTCTTGGTGATATATCTCCATATCCAACAGTATTCATAGTTGTAACAGCCCAATAAAGTGAATTAATATATTTAACTGACCAATCTTCATCATATATTCCATAATAATAAAGCCAATTGTCAGTAGTGTCTTCATTAACAGCTATGTAATGGAAGATACATCCTAACCAATGAGACCAAAATAATACAAATCCACTAAGTTTGATAAAGCTTACTATAGTAGAGAGCATAATATTTAATTAAATAGCTTCTTCAATTTTATCAAAGAATACCTTCAATTTAGCCAATCTGAGCAAACGAATAATTTTGATAAATCTCATAAATCTAACTAGTCTGAGTAAAGATAGAGTTTGTGTATATTTAGTAGCATCTTTAGAAGTTTCAATCGTATTACTCTCTTCTTCACTGATTCCAGTTGAAGCAGTAATTATAGCATCATAAGGAAATGATGCAGCTAGATCAATCCAAAACCATAGTTTAATGTAATTAAGTACTATTTATTTTCTGCTATAGATTGGTATTCCTTTTCTATATATGCTAGTATTAAATGTAATGATGATATCAGACATAAACATTATATCTATTATTTAATCTAATGTTGCATTTATTTCAACATCAAAGCTTAATTTAAATGGAATACTTAATATTTCATAGAATATCAATAACATACAGAATGTGTCCCACATTAATTTACCATAACCATCTGCATGAAACACCCAAGTATCACTTTGATTTTGAATTACATTTCTATTAGTATCTTTGAATTTTAAGAAACTCTATATTTTAGATTTCACTTTCTAAACAATCGCCTACCTTTTCTTTAATTACTCAATTTTACTTATAGTTCTTCTTCTCAATAAAAATTGGCTTTGTTGTTGTTCTAAGAGTGCTAGATAATGATTCAAATGGCAGTTCTAACTTTTCTATCTATTTCTTTTATTTTTGAAATTCATCCTCGTCAGAAGAATTCTCCAATTTATCATTTAATGTATATAATTCAAACTAACCTAACGGCCTCTTTCTAAAATCATTTGTCCTTGTTTCTTTAATCTTCTTTCTAAATTCTGTTTATCTTTACTAAATAATACTTCTCATGTATTTACTCTCCTTATCTCTGAAGTTGAAGCTTATGTTGCTGTTTACAATCCTCCTCTTCTTAGTCCTAACTTTGAATTTATGACAGTAAACATAATTATTTATTTATAATATATATGATAACAATTATTAATAATTCATAAATTTGGTTTTTTAAGTTCCATTCTATTATCATTGAAATTACCTTTATTCTTTTCTTTTTATTATTATTATTCTTATTATTCCAAAGCTAATTAATATTTTTCTAATGACTCTTCAACTATTTTACTGGCTTTTTAAAAACAGAAATGGAATGTTTCAATGAAGGTGTCCATATGTCTAAAATTATTTTATTTAATAATACTCTTTAGTATGTTATGGTTATAGATTGACTCTCAATCTAGCCTGTCCCATTCGAACAATAGGATATTCAATTCCATTACAATGAATACCTTCATCAATCATTAATCTTGTAACAACTCTACAAACTAATTCATTTCCAATTAATAAAGGAAGAATAGGTGATGGATATCCTATTATCTAATACCCTCTAGCATTTAGTTCCTTTTTCATATAATGATAATTTTCCATCACTTTCACTCTCAATCTATTTCCAACCTCACTATTTAGAATTCTTAATTGAGCCAGCGCAGTAGCACACTAAACTGGATTCACTGAGTTAGTAAACATGTAAGCTGATGAAAAGAATTTAAGATAATCTATCACTTCAAATGAATTGCAAGCCACCCATCCAACATTAGTAGATAAACATTTAGATCCTCCAGACATTAACAATACATTCGAGAAATCTTATAAACCTTATAATTCAAATACTCCCTTGCCTATTTGAATATATTTATTAAAATACCTGTTTTTCCCATACATCCAAAATCATGAGCACAATCAATTAATAAGAATGCCTCATATTTCAAAGTCATTTTTTATAAAGCAACCAAATCAGTATAATCACTATCCATACTAAACAAACCTTCTGTAACTACTAAAATACAAGCATCAGGATTTGCTGTTCTAATTTCTGATACTTTTTTCTCCATTGCTTCCAAACTCAAATGAGGAACTCTTAAAACATTCTTTGTGGCTGCAAAAGCACCTTCTGTTAAACAATTATGACATAATTCATCCATTACCACATAATCATAAGGTCTTTTTTTAATTATCATCATTGTTACCTTATTAATCCTTTTATGACTCCAAATCCTGCTAACCATCCTGCACTATAAAGAATTACTTCCTTCATTCCCCAATAATCCTTTAACTCTTCCTTTAACTACATATAATATTTTGATGCACCAAATGCTAAAGGTGCTCCACATGAATTTACTGAATATTCCTATGCAGCATTTGCAGCTGCTTCCTTAAATTATTTCAAAATCTAATACTTTTGCTTATTCATTTGTGCATAACCCTAAATAATCTGCTGATGCAAAGTTTATACCGTAAAATATATCTCCATAATCGTCCATTCCTATTCTTATATTTATATTTTTTTACCATAACATTCTTGAGCTGGAGGAGACATATTTCTTCTCTCATAAAGAATTATTTTCTATTTCCTCAATGATCCTACTAAATTCTAAAATCCCTTCACTCTTTCAAACAAATTCTATTTTCACATTAAGTTTAATACCTTTCCTTCCACATTTTTATATTCTAAATGACTCAATTTCAAATTTGAAATTGTTATACTTCTATCAAATTCCTGATTTACATTCAAACTTGGGTATTTTTACATCTTCCTTTTTTTTTCTTTTAATTCAAATATTATCTTGCCTCAGAAATTCCTGATTTGAATCATTCAAAAGTACTATACAAATTTTTCAAGATTAATTAAATGCGTATTATTTTATTACATAATATTATTAAATTATGTATCTAAATTTAAATTTCAAATTTATTTTCTTTAATCATCTCTTTTTATAAACACAGGGTTGTAATATCTACTTTCCTAATGATTGCCAATCCTTCAAATTTGCATCTTTGTGACCCAAAATTTATTGTACTCTTTTTTAATTCAAAGGACCATTGAATTGACAAATATCCATTATCTTTTCAAAAACAAATAATACAAAATGACTATTATGTTCATCCTATTCATATAATTTATTAAATTACTCTTTTTTAAATTTTCATTCCCATCCCTGTAACTAAATTAACAAAATTATCTATTGTATTCATCCTACTCTTCACTTCAGCTATTATCAAGTGTCCATTTTTCTTTAAGATTCGAAATGCCTCCCCCAAATAATCCAAATAATTTACTCCCATCAAAGACAAAGAAAAAATAGCCACATCACAACTACAATCATCTAGAGGTAAATTAGATATATCTGTCTCTATGATATATGGTTTCAATCTAACAAAATCAAAACTTTTGACTGTTATTAGTTTACTCAATCTATTATCCTTCTCAAAATGCTCCTAAATCTCCCCTTAACCACAACCTAAATCAGAAATCACTCTAATCCAAAATTAACACTATATTTTTACAAATTTCTATTTTAAAATTATTGACTTTCTCTCAATAATTTTATAATATTCCCAACAGGACTTTCAGGCCATTTCTCTATTTATTAAGCATATCCCGTATGATAAATTTTGAATTCTTCTGGATGTTGTTTAAAATGTTTCTATGCTTCCTCACTATTCACCGTATACATATATTCATTTAATAATCTGAATTTCGATCCTTAATTCTTAAATTATCAAACCTTTTATGCGTTCTTCATCTTATTCCCATTTTCTCTATGCTTTCAATTCTTTCTTATTCTTTTTACTAATATTTTACTAAATCACATTCTTATTTCTTTTCACTTTACCAAACATTAAAATATAATTTCTAATTAATACAACAATTATATTTTTATCAAAAAGTTGCTGCTAAAATTTATATTATATTTCAATATCAAAGATTGGTTTCATTTTTAAAATACATAAAGTATTAAAGTAATTTAGTTAAATTATATTTTTATTTTCTTGGGATTTTATCTGAAGGAATAAAACATTTTAACATTCTATACTTCTGTGGAAACTCTAATGATTATATTTTATAACATAATTCACTCTTATGTATTTGACCAAGTGAATCAAAATTGTTTATCAATTTGGTGTAGGCATTATACAATCTAGCTATAGAGGAACTAAATCTTTTTTCGGTGAATTCTACTGTGCTCTTATAAAAATATACAATTTTTTTAGTAGCCATCATTTCCAACTGTTTTAGATCACTCATTATATAAGTAATGATCACAATCTAAAACAATAATGTTAACATAAAAAAAGTTCCAAATAATTTTAAACTTAAATAAATTGATTAATTTTAGAACCCAATCTATTTATTATAAATTTCTATATACTAATTCTAGTATTAACTTGCATCATACACCACAAATATGAAATAATTTAATTCAATCAATTTCGTTCTTAAAACTATGATATTTTTCTTATACACACTATTGTATAAATAAAATATATTTTAATCTAATTTAATTAAAATATTCCAATCAGTTTCATTAAAACCTGTTAAGCTTTAATTATATATTTTTATTAAAACAGCAATTCCATTAGCATAAAGATCGCTTATTACTATATTACCGTTGGCATCAACCAAATAATATTGTGATGTATTAGTTTATATTTTAGGCATCCTTGAAAAATCCAAATCCTGACCTATCAATCCATCAAACTAAACATGAGATAAATTTGTTGTTTATGAAATGAAAACTACATCAATCCATGAAACATATGGATCACTAACAATTATCTTTTTTCCTGTTCCCATTTGTGCCATATGATCTCTATACCATTATCTAGTGTGAGGGTAATAATTCTAAATTTCGTATCCTCTGTTTTAAGTAAAAAACTATTCTTCTCCTACATGCGCCATCAGAGTTATTAATTAAAGATCAAAAATTCTTAAAGTTTCAGTTAATAACGATGTTAATTTTAATATATTCTCATATTTACTAATATTTAATCCATTTGTCAAATTACAAAAAGCATAACAAAATGAAAAAAAGTATGCATATGAATCATTATATTACTTATTATTTAAGCAATCCTAAGGCATTTCAATAAAGAAATTACTATCTATCATCTAATACAACTAATTAATCGATAAAAGCTATCTTGCACTATCTTCAAAGACATCTAAAGTTGAGGATCTTTCTAAATAACTCAACATATTCAAATGATTCTAAGTTTCTTTATCAAATATTTCTTAAGTAATAGCCATTAATTCTTCTGTGACAATGTACATATAAATTAAATTGCTAATTGCAAATATAATGACACTAAAAAGTGTAATAACAATATGGAAGCAATAAATCTAATTGCTGATCCTCCAATTTCTACATAAAAAGTTTCTATATATCTAATCTTTTTTAATCATAAAATTTGCTTTATAAACAAGAATTTATTTTTTTTAAACATTCAGTTTTAGAAGGGCTGAATAAAAACATAAAAAAAATTAATTATTTGATAAGATTTTACAACTGTTCAAAAAAGTGTCTTTAAAAATAAAAATTTATAAATAAAAAATTAAAGTTTAGACTTCTGATATTATTATTTCAAAGATACTAAATTTATGATTAAAATTATTTTCAAAAATAAAAAAAATAATGACAGAATTTGTTAGATAGACAATTAACAAATTATTTTAAAGGATGATATGTTTTAGCTTTATTTTATAACATTTTATAGATAATACTTTTGATTAAAATTATTTATAATAAATTTTCACAAAAATAAATTTTGATTTTATTTATTCCGTAGAAGAATCACTATTTCGAAATAGTTTCCTTTGAAATTTTATTCATTGAACCTAATAATTGTTATAAAAAAAGACAAATTGTTAAAATTCAGATTTGATATTCCAATTTCAGTAAAATTTTTCACCATTTATATTTGAAATTAAGGATAAATAAATTGATTTATAGAGACAATGAAAATATTTTAAGGTATCAACAATAAAAAGGACCATGCTTATGATATACTTTATGTAAAAGCAATAAATTTCTTAAATAAACATTTTCCTTAAATTTGTTATCTAAAATATTTATTTTTACAGAAAATTTTGCGATAGTGTCATATGGATTTGTTTTGACTAAATAAAATTAATTTAATCGCAAAAGAAATAATATTTAAGTATCAGAGAAAAATGAGTAATTATATACATAAGCTTAATTGAAGAAGAATTGTTTTCTTGAGTTCATTTCTATTATGTATAGAATGTGATTAAAAATAATAAGGTTATTATTATAAATTATTAATTCACGAAAATGGGAAGTAGTTGTTGTAATCATCATGAAATGAATTAACCTTAGTTATAGAAAAATACTCTAATATTGACACCATTAATGAAATCTAATGATAATTGGGATTCTTCTTAGGATGATGATGACTTAATTTTGCCAATGCAAAAATATAAAACCTTAAGTGCTGTATCAAAAATAGAACTTGATTTTTCATAAATTACAAATCAGACGAAGATGAAAAAGACAATTTAATTACCAGGAGCTAGGAAATCAGTTAAAATAAGTTATGATAATTTCATCACAATGAAACAAGGAGAATGGAATGAATAATATAGCATTTTAAAAAAACTAGGTTAGGGAAGTTATGGTTGTGTTTGGTTGGGTAAACATATTAAGACAGGTATTTTAAGAGCATTAAAATAAATTAAAAAGGATTCATTATTATTTGAAGATCAATAAAGAATGTTATCGGAACTGAATATCCTTAAATCTTTAGATCATCCAAATATTGTACGAGTTTTTGAATGTTTTTAAGAAGATGAACAATATATAGTTGTTACAGAGTATTTAATTGCATTTATTAAGATATCTTCCAGGAGGAGAGTTATTCGAAAGAATAAAGAAACTTTAAATTTTTAGTGAAAGAATGGCAGCTGATTATATAAAATAAATTTTATAAGCAGTAAGTTATTGTCATGAAAAATAAATTGTCCATAGGTATGATTAGTAATTAAATTTTAATTAGAGATTTAAAACCAGAAAACATTTTATTAAGTGGATAGGGTGAAGAAATTAAAGTAATTGATTTTGGAACTTCCCGTCATTTTACATAAAATTTTGATATGAGAAAAAGATTAGGGACTCCTTATTATATAGCTCCAGAAGTTTTGAATTAGAAATATAATGAAAAAGTAGATATTTGGTCATGTGGAGTGATTCTTTATATTTTTTTATGTGGGTATCCTCCTTTTGCTGGAAAAACTGATAAAGAGACTTTAGCAAAAGTTCAAGCTGGAAAATTAGTTTTTGATAGAAAGGATTGGTCTACAGTATCAAGTGATGCTATGGATTTAATTAGTAAAATGTTGAATTTAGATGTTTCTAAAAGATATTCTGCTTAGTAAGTATTAAAGCATTCATGGATTTAAAAAAATGCTAAATAAGAAATAATCTCTTTATAATTACTTAGCAATATAGAAAAGTTTTAGGTTTAAAGTAATTTTAAGAAAGCAGTTATGACTTATATGGTGAGCTAAACTTTAAATAGTTAAGAAATTAATGAACTCAAAGCAACTTTTAATGCCCTTGATAAAAATAATGATGGTAATTTAAGTAAACAAGAGTTGATAGCTGGATATAGAGTATTATTAAGAAGCAAAGAATAAGCTGAAGAAAAAGTGAATAAAATTTTAGATACTTTAGATTTAAATCATTCTAATCTTATTGATTATTCAGAATTTATTATGGGAGCAATGAGAGTAGAAAAATTAGTTTCAATTGAAAGAATTAAATAAGCATTTCGAATGCTCGATATTGTATTTCATAAATTTATTTTAGAATGGAGATGGATATATTTCAAAGGATGAACTTGAAGAAGCTATGGGATTTTTAGAACCTGAAATATGGGAATAATTTTTAAATGATTGTGATCTAAATAAAGATGGAAAAATATCTGAAGACGAATTTAGTAAAATTTTAACTACCTTATGATAATATTTTCTAAATTATCAAACTATTATCTACTTCATTCTTTAATCCCTAAAGCACATTATTATAATCTATCTACCAACTTCGAACCCCCAATATCTGAAGCTGTGTTTAACATATCTCCTATTCTACATTTTAAAGTTATAATTTCCTCTTACAATTATTCAATTAGCTAATTCGAAGCTTCTTAAACTTTCTAATTCATTTGATTCTCTACAACAGATTAAGGAATTGAGAACTTCTATTTTGATATCTCAATTGCTTACTAATCTCCTTTTTATTCTAATTCCTATATTCCTCTCTTTAAGATAATTATTTACTATTCCTATTACTTAATCTATTCACACAGTTTTTCATTTGTCGAATATATTCTTTATGTGTATTCCTAATTTTCTATTTACAATTTTTCTAGATTATCTTTAGCACTTTCTAAAAACTTTATTAAACTTTATTGCTCTAACTCGTTTTATTAATATTATAAGATATCTGTCTCTAATTATTGTATTTTATCCTCTTTTTCTCTTATTTTTATATTATTAATTTAAGATAATGATTATAAATCTAATTTACTTTTCTCTTCTACTAACTTTATATCATCCTCCTTTTAATTTATCTATCTCTTAAGATCATCATTTTCTTACTCATTTTTCTAACATTGTTTTTCCAATGTTTCAATTTATTTGGTTAAATTTTCCACTTAAACATTATAATTCTTGTTTATTTCATCAACCTATTGTTACCATTTAAGTTTGTTGCTTCTATTTTCTTTATCTAATTCTTACACCTTTAATTATATTTCATTTAACAGTTAATTTTAACTTTTTAATGCCAAATTCTATTCCTAAACCCTCGATAATTGTAATTCCTTTTCTTTCAATTATTCATTCAATATTTCTTTATTATTTTCAAGTTCTTCAATCTATTTTTATAGAATTTCCTTTTCCTTTTGCCACTCATCATTTTCACTAAAAAGTTATTACTGTAATTCCTATAAATCATTTGTTAATTTATCTATAATTTATTTATTTTCTATTTCTAAATTGTTAATTGTACCATTCATTTCTTTGATCTTTTCTTTAAAGTCTATAATTTAATTTTATTACTGTTAACACAATTCTTATTATTCTTAACCCTACTTATTTAAAAATGAATGATTTTATTTTAAATCATTTAACAAATTCTCTAATTCTTGTTTTTCTTACTTAACTGCATAATTTTCAAGTCTGAGTTCTTCTATAATTTACTATAAATTTGAAATTTAATCTTAATTTTAATTTTATTAGAACTAATTATTTTAAAACTTTTCTTGTAGGAATATCTAATTTTCTTTGAAAGTTTTTAATTCCTCCTCCAATTATTAAATTCTTAGCTCACTCTTATCAGTTTGTTCTTATAATTCAAATTTATGGAGTTAGTTTTATTAATCTAATTTTTCTTTACATTGATCAATTTAAATTGTGATTTTTTACTCTAATTAATCTATAAGGACTTACTATTCATGTATTTACTATTTGCTTTAATTTATTGTATCTTCTTGTTCTTTAGACTGAGCTTGTACTTCAGGAATTTTTTCTTGGTACGATCTCATTTATTGCTGCAAAATATTTATTTATTGCTCTAAAATATTTATTTACTGCTGATATTCATTCTTCTCTTATAAATATTAGTTTTCCTTTATATCTAATTGAGTTTGGAAGATTTTATTTTATTCAACTTGATATTCATAAAGTTTTTACTCTTCCTAAATCTTAGTCAATTACTCTTCATTTGCTTTTCTATAATCTTCAATAATTTATTCATCTTCTAATAGTTTAAGACTTTAATTCCTAATTACATTCTCTTTATCATTAAGTTCATTTTACATTTGGTTTATTTTTACTTCAATACTTTTAATTTAACTTTATTTCTTTGCTTCGATTTCTTATTAATAATTTTTTAAATCCTTTAAATTCATTTGTAATTCTTAATTTGAGCTTTATAAATCATAAATTTATGTGTTTTACTTCTAAATAATATTCTAATTAATTTAATTCTAATTTTATAATTCAGCATCTTTTTACTATAAGTCATTTATTATTTCTTCAATTTTTTTTTTTTAATATTTATTTTCCTCATCTAGATTTATTACTGATTATTTCAAATCTATAATTTCACAATTTTTAACTTATATTTATTAAATCAAACAATCTTTTTCATTTGTAAATTAGTCCTTATGCTTTTCATTTTATAACTATATTTAAGAGTTCAGCAAATCAATTTCTGATTTAAGCTTATTAATCTAAGAATTTATTTGTGTATATAGTTTAGCTAGTATACTTGAAATTTGTGCCTCATTATCAAAATTTTACTAATCTAAAAATTTTTAATTCAAAATTTATGTTTAATCAAAGATATCTTTTATTATTTTTTATAATTAAGATATTTAAACTTCGTTAGAGTGAATATTTGATTTAAAGTTTGTTTCTCTAAGATTGCATTATTAAAATTGAAATTCCAAGATTTTTAATTATTCACTTTATTATAGATTTATCTATTCTAATTAATTTTTTTCTTATTTTAGATAATCAATCTAAGATATTAATTCTTAATCCTTTTAAATCGTTTCTTAAAAATTTTATATTTCTTATGAATGTTTCTCGATTATCTAATTAATTTTCAGTTAATTCTAATTTTATAAATTTTAATATTCTAATGATTTTTCATAAAGATCTTTTTTCATCTTTTCATTATCTAGATAAGATTCCCTGAACTTTTAGTCAAAATCCTATTGCAATGTAATTTTCATTTAAATTTCGTGCTGCTCTTAAGCTTAAATTTAGGAGTTAAGTTCTTATATCTAATATTAATATTGTAATATCTATTTTATGATTAATTATTTACTTGCTTATCTAAAATATTTTATTGATCATTGTATTAGTTATTTTCCAATTGATATTATTAAACCTATTATTCTAATTTTTAAATAATCTCTTTATCTAACAAAGTTTAATTCTTAACTTCATCAATTTTTTTATTTAATTCTAAAATTTATATATTTAATTAAGCAATATAATTTTCTTACTCTTTCATCTTTATGGATGTTTCTTAGATTTAATAATTTAAATTATTATTTAGAAGCTCTTTTTATTATTATATTTCTTAAATGTCTTTAAGTTTATCTTGTAGAGATTTATTTTTATTTTTTTCAATTGAAATTGCTTGTTACAAAGTATTAAATTCTTCTTGTAAATTATTATGCTTTTCTAAAACCATTTTATATGACAAAGATAAATTTTAATTATCAATTTGTATCTAAGATAATTTTTTTTCATAATTAAGAATTTATTCTTGATATTAATTATTAATAAGATTTTGATCTAATTACTATTTTTAATCTTGCCCTTGTAATAATAATTCCTATTTATTCTCTTTTTCTATTTAAGTTTCTTTATTTATTAATTAATTATTTTAATCCTTTATTTCGGCTTACAATTTTACTTATTCATTACTTTCATTATTTATTTATGATACATTTAACTAAGTTTTAGAAATAGCTTAGCTTTATAAACTTATAGCTGGATCGATATCACTTACAATTGGAGTTTAAGATTAAATTTTTTAATTAGAATTATCAATACAAGAATTTGTAATCTATTGATTTTCAAATGATATTTTTTTAGCTGTGCTTTCGGTTAATTATTTTTCAGGAGTTAAAATTAATTGTTTTTTATCAGATGGTTATTCTACTGTGACTGTGGATGCTTAACTAATTGTATCAAAATCAATTTCTCCTAATTGTATAAATTTAATTTTTGTGAAAATTTTTGCATGTTTGTCAGGACACTTATCTAAATGAAATTACTCATGAATGTCTATTTTTGCCATTAAAAATACCATTTTTTTTTTAATTTAAGTATGTTGAGAAATCTAATTAGCATTAGCCAGCTGCTTTATTTCCTTTATCAGTAATTATTACAACAGTTAACTAAGCCTTCTTCTCCTAATAAATTCCATTCACTTAATAAATATTGGTCTATAATGACAAAGTTTCATTAATTTATGCAATACCTTTAGTGAAATCTGCTAATTATAAAGTTTCAATTTTCTAATTTCCTACACAATTAGAAAATCAAAACATTACCTCTTTTTAAAAGTACTTGCATCTTACATTGAAAATTTACATTTATTACAACCTTTTCAATATGAATATTCAATTAAAATTTAAATCCTTTAGGGTCCATGTTGTTATAAATAAATATTTTTTTAAATTCTCAAATTTATAATTCATATAACTCAATAATTATTGTCATCACATTCCCAGATATATTTCTTTGTAAATTAAAGTGCATAACTTAAAATAGAACTTCTACATAAATGTTCATTATCTCTGCTTGTAATTAACAGATTTGCATTTTATTTTTATCCAAATTTGAATTATTATAACAAAACTTTTATAAATTCTACTTTTTTAAATCTACTATATAAATGATTTATATATTTATACGATGATGTGCATTAAAGTTTTTAGAATATAAGTTAAGTTGTGTTTAGATCAACTTTCATAATAACTGTTTTTCCTAAAGAGACATTATTCAAGTTAAATTCTTCGTTGAATAAAGCATATTTTATTGCTTTTAATTTATCAATTCAATTAAACACTTAAGATTGGACAAATGGCCTTCGAAATTGATTTACATAATTTTTGGCACATTATTGCTTTAGCGTCTAAATATAATTATCATTGAAAATTTATATTTTGAATTTTCATTCTTCGTCTAATTATTTATAATTTTATTGTTTTTAATATTAAAATAAATAAAAAATTTTTTAATCAAATTCTTGTTTATTTTTTTTTGATAAAATTTCTTCTGATTTCGTTATCAACAAACATATAATGATTTCTAGTTGAAATTTAATGAGAATAAACAAAATGTTTTTCTTCTTTAATATCTTTAGTAGCAAAATCAATATATTGATTAAAATTTTTAAAGTGATGTTTCATTAAGGTCTTCCAGTTTGTATTTGTTATGTGATTTTTTTATTCTAAATTTTCTAACAATAAAGCATACTTTGATTCCTATTCTTATAACTTATTTTTTTCTTAAGAAAAGGAATCTTTAATTTATTATAATGTTTATAAAACTCCTTCTTCCAACATAGTTATATCAGACATTAAACCATTTAGCCTGGTATTTTTAGTTTATTTTTTTACTAAAACACTTTTAGAATATTAATTTTAGTGTTGTTATGAAAAGCTAGGAGAGCGAAATTAATTTAAATAGAATTCATGCTCTATTGGTGGTAATTTTACTTATGCTTGTATTTGATTCACAAATTCTTTAATATCCTATTTTGATTTAAAAGTAGCTGCTTACTTAGGTGTTGTTGTTAATTTTTATCTTTTATAATTAAAGCAAATTTCAGCATATGTGTCATCAAGCATTTTTATAATTAACAATATTTTTATAACTTATTCAATTTCTCCAAATATATCAATAAAAATTTTTGAAACAAAAACTTAAAATCAAAATCAGATTTAAATTATTCATAAACTAAAATTCTCATAAATAGATATAAATTAAAGAATTATGTTCAAAAATTAAACAGATGGTAACAAACTTCAAAAAGTAAAAAATCTTTATTATGTAATTTTCATCTATATTAGCAGATGTTTGTAAATTTTACAGACTCTTGCTTGATCTTAATATATTTTTTTAAAAGTTTTGTATTTTTTAAGCATTTTTATTTATTAATAGAATTTAATAAAAATTTAACTTAAAATCATCAAATTATCTTTTCCAGAAAAAAATAAGTCAATTATATTGATTTTTTTTGTTAATCAAAATATAAACAAAATTAATTTCATTTTAATCATTAGAAATAAGGCCATAATTTTAATTATAAATTTATTTTATTTCTAGAGGTTGTTGTGTCACTAGGTAAGGTTTTAATTCTTGTAGAATTGCATATTTAAGAGTCTTATTTTATCATATTGAACTATTTATTTATAAACTAACTCTATCTGCTATTTAATTAAATTTATTTAGGCAAATTGTCTGATGATTTAGATTGAACTATTTATTATGCAATATTTTTAAGTTAATTAGTTTTTTTTTAAGCAATAAAATACTAATTAAATTCATTTAAACTAGGTTGATTAATATTTGGTAATTTTGTTTTATATATATTATTATTTTTATTTTTTTTAGATTTTTCAAGCACATATTAAGCAATTACACTATGAGATGCTTTACGAATAAATATATTATGATTTGATTCCTAATTTAATCTAGGTGTAAGGTATTATTAATGATTTTCTGAATCAATTACTTGTAATTTGTTTGTATAACTTTTTTAAAATTAAAGTCTAGAAATAGTAACAGGAGAAGATTCACAAGAAGAATCAAATTAATCCTAAAAAAATAAGATTTAATTTAATACAAATTTCTTAGCCATCACTTCATGATATTTTAATAATTTATCTCTTGATACAAAAATACTATTTTTTGGTTCTTAAATACAAGTTCTTCTTCTTATGATGAGATGAGAATTTCTATTTCTTTAAAGCAATAAATAGATTTTTTATTCTAATTCAGGGTCTATTTTAGTGATAGGGCCTTAATATTGTTGATCACTAATGGTTTTGGCTCTTTTATGAGTAATTTTTAGAATAGATTTTAAGGGAACACTTCTACTTCTATGATTACGAATATGTTTTTTCTAATTAGCTCTTTACATAAATTCTATATTAATCAACAATCATACTATATTGCATTTTTAATCTATTCATTTTCTTTTTTTTTAAGATTGCTGCATCCTTAGAATGTTAAAAGATTTGAATTGATGGAGCTAAATTATTAAGTCTTTTTTATTTAGATCCAACATACTCTAATTGACTAACTCTTCTAAGAATACACTTTTTCAAAGGAATCTCAGAAATAATATTATTTGTAATTGAAGCTACTTCAATAATTTCATCTTTTTCTTATCTAGTATATAGTGTTTCTGACTAACATAACTATGAAACATTTGGAATATTTAGATTAGTTCTAAATTTGGTCTATTATCTCTATTATTGATAAGATTAAAGTAAAGAAATAGATGGTAATTCAAAAGACCGAGAATGCCAATTCTTGCAAAATTTGAATTCAGATAATTTGCATTTCTATTATAATAGTTACAGGTTAGTCTTTTGTTATCTAGTCTCCTTTAAATTGATTTTTAACATTAAATTTTATATTGTCAAAAATAGGTATAATTTTAGACTCTTCTTATAAGCTATCAAAACGATATATAATAGTCTTTGGAAGTTTTATGGTCAATAAAGTTATATGAAATCGAATAATAATTTATAGAGAATTATTTATAATTAATTATGAGTGGAATTAAAGGAATTGCAAGAGCAAATTTGAAATTAGTGGAGCTTGTATAGAGAGGTTTTTCCATTTAAGGAAAAAGTACAGAAGAATAAATGATGAACTTTCAAAGAATTATTTCAGAACATAGTAATTTGAAATTGTATTTAATTAGATAGAAAACATGATAAATAATGGCTATTTCATGACACAAGATTATATGAAATTCCAAGACCTTCTAGATATAGAGATCTTTATGAAAGAGAATTGAAAAGAAAGAAGGATAGAAGAACAATAGCCTTCTTATGTAAACATGTTATGGCTGAAAAGAATGTTAAAATACCTATGAAATGAGTCAATATATAAATAAAATAAATAAATAATGCAATAATAGGATAGTTTATTCTTTTAAAGTTAACTCTATGTAGCTGAATTGTGTGAGCCTATAAATTTGATAGAATTCGTAACAGTTGATGTATAAAAAAATAAAGAAAAGCAATAAAAAATATCATCAGGTCTTTAAGTTTCTGATCAAAAATAAAAAATGAAAACCTAAAATGAAAAGAGTATTAATCTGTTGAAATAATCTAGTTAGTCAATCCATCCAAATCTAATGTCACTCATAAAGAATAAATTAAAAATCATAAATAAGATTCTTCTTCTAAAGGGAAAAATTGGATTATTAAGAAATTAAATGAAGAAAATTAATCTAAAGAAGTAATAACTTGTTTACCTAATTTACCTAAACCTTTATAAAACTAAGGAAAGTTATTTTCAAATACAGCCTCAAAATAGATTAAATAAAGACTCAATAAATTTATTCTTGATTAGAATAAGAATCAATCAATAATTAACAATGATATTTTATCAGGATAGAATTCTTCTTTACCTCATTTAAGTAATAATGTTCTAGAAATTATAAAAGTTAGATTAAAATCAGACTCTCCAAAATAAATGCCCATTTATGATGTTAATTTTTTTTAGAACTTTTAATAATTTTTTTCTTGATAATATATATATTTAATAATTTTTTGGATTTCGAATGAGTAGATTCATTTTTTAATTGAAATCAAATGATTTTAAGAAAGGTTCCATTTATAGAAAAATAATAAGTATAATATATAAGTATTTAATAATTTCTCTTAAACAATCAAAATAAAATACTTTTTTTGTTAGAGCCTTCTTATTAATTGTAAAATTTAGATATATTCAATAAAAATAAAAAAGGAAGTTATATGATAAATATAAAATATGAGTTATAAGTTAAAAATAATAAAATCAAATGACAATAAAGGAAGATTAATGTTAAGATAATATTAAGAAAATACCAGTAATCATTTTAAAAAGTAATTAACTTCGAGATTTTTTAAGTCTAAATTAGGTCCATCAACATTAGCCATATCTAGATCATAATCATCATTTGATTATCTAAATTTTCTATTTTCTTTATGTTCTTAACTTTATTTAAATGAAGTATAAGATTTAGAATCTTTTCTTTTAGTGAACTGATTAGGATTGTTATGAATATATGGTTATGATTCTACTTGAATTAAGGTGTGATTACTAATTTAATAATTATTTTATTTGCTCGTGGCTTAACTTTTAGGTTCAATAGATGTATTTTTTAATAATTAAAGTTTATTTTCATGTTTAAAAGTATTATGATCATAGTATTTTTCATGTAATTATTTCATGAATTTAAGATTGTGTTAATTATCTTATTTTAGATGAAAAGCTTCTCCTTCTTCATCAACAGGAGGAACTAAATCAATATCAGATAATTATAATCTAATATTAGGTATGGAATTAGGATCAATAAGAATGTCTTAAGTTTATGATTCCATTTATTTAAATTCCCAATCATAAAGTTAATGATCATATTCCTAAAGTTGTTTTTCAAATAGATTTCTTAAATGAGAATAATTTGGTTATTGTTAAAATAGAAGCGATTTGACATGCTAAAAGTAATATATGAAACACTATGAAATATAAATGATTAAATATATACTTTAGGTAAATTGAAACAAAGTTAAATAAGAGGAATACCCATTTTAATTTGAAGTATTTGATCATATTTATCTTCTTTATGAATTGCTTTAACATTAGACCATGGTAATTCCCCTTTAACTAAATAAATTAACATGTAACCTAAACTTTCTAAATCATCTCTTCTTGATTATTCCATCCCTAAAAAATAAAAATATTTATACATTATAATGTATTTATGCTAGCATAACGAGCAGTACCTATAACTCCTGTTTTTTAAGTAAATTCTATGTGTTTTCCATCAATTGCTCTATAATATTTAGATAAACCAAAATCAATTAAATATACTAAAGAAGAATCTTCTCTAGAAATCAAAAAATTTTCTGGTTTAATATCACGATGAATAAAATTCATACTATGAAAAACTATAATGTTTATTAAATAAAACAAAACCTTCTAAACGATCTATCAATTAAATTGCTAATTATACTGTAGTTTAAATGGAAAACTTACCTCCACATTTTTTTAATAAAATCTCTAGATTATCTCCTAATAATGTACTCATGTAATAAGTATATTAGCGATCTTTTCCATTATGTACTAATTCTGGAAATCCTAAAAAAATAATAGAATTAAAATTATGTTACCATTTATTCCTTTTAATTGTTTTAATATTAAAATTTCTCTATTCATCATTCTCATTTACATATTTCTATTTTCAAATTTAGCTGCATAATACTCTTTCTCTTCTAAATCAAATGTTAGATAAACTATTCCAAAACTACCACTACCAATTCTCTTTAATAGTTTAAATCTTTAATCAATAATCAAACCAGGTTATAAAGTATTATTCTAATCCATTTTATTAATAAATTTAATATGTTAAACAATTTAATAACCATAATAGCTGAATGTTAAATCAATTCAGAATAGATTAAATAACTCTTTGTTGATCCACATATGGCTTTCCAAATGTTATCATCTAATGGACATGATATAGATCAATCAGATATCAAAAGGTTCATTTCACTTAATGATGAAGAAATTAAACATTTAATCACATAATTCAATTCTAACTCTGATACAAGATTTACATATTCTGAGTATCCTTCACATCATTATGTAGTTTCGCAAATTCATTGAAGATCAATAACAACAACCATATCAAAGATGTACTTATCAAACTTTTGTAATAAGAAGCAATTAATTTTAAGTAAATTATTTGTGTTTTCCATAGATTATAGTAAAGTTCAAATACTTAAAGAAGATTCTAATTTTAATCCTAATCAATTATTTAATTAGATTGATGAGTTTCACTAAGGCTATATTACTCATAGGACATTAAAAAAAACAACCAATCTATCTAACGACTATATCTCAGCCTTCTTTAGATTTCTTGATAAAGATAATGATGGAAGAATTTTTTAAACTGAATTTTTATCAGCCTTTAAATGCCCAAAAAAATTACAATTAGCTCTTTAATATCAAGATTTAAGATAAAGTTAAGAAAAAGAAAAATATATTATTTTATAATCTTAATAGATTTAATAAAATCTTTAAATAAGTGAAGAGAAAAATAGTCAATCTAGAATTAAATAAGTCTAACAATTATTACAAAGTAGATAGAATCTTGATCGCTCATAAGGTTATAATTCATATTCATCCTTATAAAAAGTTAGACAATAATTGCTATAAATTGACTATATTAGAAGAAACTCATAACGTGAAACTTTTGAAAGACTTCTTAAATATTAACATTAATTGATTAAAAATATCAAAGAAAAAAATGAAGAAACAACTTAAAAATAAAAAAATCTAAGTAATCTCCATGATTAATTATATACCATGAGAACACAATAAGACTTAAGTCTTAAAAGAAAAAGAGAGTATAGTATTCATAGCTAATCTTAATTATGATTATTTTTTATGAAATATTTGAATTTCTAAAAATTACTTTATTCTAAGTTTAAACATCATTTTTGATTACTTTTTACATTAATATATAATCTTAATTAAGTGTTTCCATTAGATTTTTAATTTTTAGAATGCTTAATATTAAAGCCTCAAAAAAAAATTAAAGTTAAATTACCTTCTTCAAGAATTGGAGATTTCGATCATAAGTTTTATGTGCATAAACTATTTATATCATTATAGTAACTTTAATTGGATCAGGGTACTTTATTTTTGTCTAAAACTTTCTCATTTAGGAAATATCTCATGAGTCCTTTATTATACTAGCATAAAGAATTCTTAGTAAACAAAGTTATATATATTCCATTTTGAATAAACACTAATTGTAATACGGATTAATGTTAACAAATAACTCATTGAAAGTTATTAATTCATTATATGAATAATAATAGATGATGAATATTACTTATAAAAATCATATCAACAAATGCGATGAATTTGAAAATCCATCAACTTTTTTATCGTATTTGGCCAACACTTCTTGTTATTGCTATGGACTACCAAATGATAATGAAGAATACTCTCAACATTAGAATAAAATATCTCTAGGAACCTTACTATTGTAAACATTTCTAATATAAAATAACTTATACCGAACCTATTTTACATCTAATACTTAAGATCAATTTTATGTATTTTAACCATGTAAATATTATCCTCCAACATATGATCCTTCATTAAGACCCTGGTTTATAAACCATAACTAGAGTATAGATGAAGTATAAAATTCATAACCTTATTTTGCATTCAGTGGTGGTATCACTTTAACTAAAACTATGAATTTAAAAGGATTAGATGATTCAGTTTAAGGAATTATTGGTACTGATATCATAATGAAGATCTTTTTTTCTCAAAATGACGCTAGTTAAATTGATTTCATTCTTATCGACCAATTAGGCCAAATACTTCTTAGTAATCATTATACATTAAATTCAACAAAGGTTGACTTTTATTATAATTAATCAGTAACAGGATTTGATTATTTAGATTTTTAAACTATAATGAATTTTTCAAAAGGGTTAAATTATTCTAATCATTGTGAAATACCAATTAAATTAGCCTTATGTTTGCATGACAAATCAAAAAATAAAAATTATTATGTGAAAGTGCAAAAATTATAATCGGAAAACTATTATCTAATAACAAAAGTTGATTAAACTCTATATAAGAATAATGTTGATTTGATGGTAGACGGAATAAATACAAAAAGCAAGAAAATTGTTTATGATTTTATTTGTTGTGTAATCATATCACTTTTTTTATGTGGCTGTTGTTACATATGTACTATCATTATTCTGGAAAAACCATTATATAAATTAATGAATATTTCATTAAATCGCAATTTAATGTTGACTTCAATTGTCGAACATTTAACACGTTTCAGCAATGATACAATAGATAATTTTGCAAATGCCTTCACAGGATTAATTAATTATGATAATCGCCATAAAAAAACATTTAATAATGAAACTAAAAAAGAATTAGAAAATATCTTTTGTTATTTACCATAAAATGTTACTATTTCTCGAAAATTAATATTACTGATTAAAGAAAAATTACCTGTATGTATAATTTATTTCTATGATAGGATTATAAAAAATAAAATAAATCTTTATTTTATTTAAATAGCCTTGATAAACTTAAAATAATAAAAGACTTCTTAATTAATGAAAGAAAAATTCTTTCCATTTGATTTTTTTATTTATATTTATAATATTGAAACAAAACGTTTATATTTGCTACTAAAAATGTTTAAATCTAAAAAGTAAAAATCACCAGCCCTATAAAAACAGTCCATTTAAGGATAAATTTCATTTTGTAAAAAAAATAATTACCTCAAGGTTAAAAAAAATAATTTATCAATCAATAAATGAAATGATCAATTATTACAACTTCTAAGAAAAACAGTAAATTTTGTTGTAGAAGCTATTTAATTTTTAGACAATAATATTTCTTGTAGAAGAAAACAAATAATAATTTAGATTAGCAAATGAATATTTTCAATAATAATAATTTTTTAAATAACTTAAACAAAGAATGCTAAAGTAATTTTCAAGTTTAGAGTATAGGTTAAATAGAGAAATATTTAATAGATTATTTTAAAAAACTCAAATCAGAAAAATGGAAAGTTTATTTTTAAAAAGATGAAAAATACTAATAAACTAAATATTCAATAAATTCATTTAAGGTAATAGAAAATTATTATTTGAAGTTAGGATATATAAATAGAAGTGTAAAGAATGATTAATCTGGATTAGTTTGCTTTTTGAAAATAAAAACTAATTCTTCAAATATAAATATAATTCATATTAGAATTTAATAGTTAACTTATTCCTCATTAGAAATAACAAATTACAGGATTTAACAATAATAATTCAAGCCAAAAAAGCAGGGTAAATAAACTAGAAAGTAAATTGTAAAGTAAAACTGAATAATATTTGTTGAACTAAAAATAAGCTTGAAGTACTTTAGGTATTGATTATTTTCTAAATAAATAATTTAAAGTAGATTATTATTTTATTTTAAAATGTACAAAAGGCAATAAAAATTGTTTTAAGAAAATAAAAATACTAAAGTACTAAAATACAGAAGTTTTATCTAACTAAACTCAATTCAATGAATATATTTCTGAGATTTCAAACAGAATATGAGATTTGCTTCAGAACTCTTGAGTAATAAAAAGATAAATGATTTTTAACATTAATTTAGTTAATTAATTTAATCAGAATAATGGATCAACAATCCATTTTTGAATATCTAGATACTTTATAGCTACAAATAACAGATCCAGTTTAAAAGCAACTTGAGTATTATCATGATAAAAAAAACATGATAACTTCTTAAAAGAAGATTTCTAGTCCTCAATTTAGATCACCTCAAATCAATCCCTTATTAGGTGATTAGTTAAACATTAGAAAAACATTATCCCAACAAACAATTGCTTTACCAGAACATGTAAACAGTTTAAATATAAATTCTCATAAAAAAAGCCATTTTGAGAAGAGAATTACTTTTTAATGACATATAAATATACAATTTGCATTATAAATTTAATATAAATGAAATCAACATATATTATAGTTAAGAATAACTTAAAGTAAATAAAAGCTATTTATTGATATAAAGAGATTTAATAGATTATAAAAGTATANAATTTTCAAGTTTAGAGTATAGGTTAAATAGAGAAATATTTAATAGATTATTTTAAAAAACTCAAATCAGAAAAATGGAAAGTTTATTTTTAAAAAGATGAAAAATACTAATAAACTAAATATTCAATAAATTCATTTAAGGTAATAGAAAATTATTATTTGAAGTTAGGATATATAAATAGAAGTGTAAAGAATGATTAATCTGGATTAGTTTGCTTTTTGAAAATAAAAACTAATTCTTCAAATATAAATATAATTCATATTAGAATTTAATAGTTAACTTATTCCTCATTAGAAATAACAAATTACAGGATTTAACAATAATAATTCAAGCCAAAAAAGCAGGGTAAATAAACTAGAAAGTAAATTGTAAAGTAAAACTGAATAATATTTGTTGAACTAAAAATAAGCTTGAAGTACTTTAGGTATTGATTATTTTCTAAATAAATAATTTAAAGTAGATTATTATTTTATTTTAAAATGTACAAAAGGCAATAAAAATTGTTTTAAGAAAATAAAAATACTAAAGTACTAAAATACAGAAGTTTTATCTAACTAAACTCAATTCAATGAATATATTTCTGAGATTTCAAACAGAATATGAGATTTGCTTCAGAACTCTTGAGTAATAAAAAGATAAATGATTTTTAACATTAATTTAGTTAATTAATTTAATCAGAATAATGGATCAACAATCCATTTTTGAATATCTAGATACTTTATAGCTACAAATAACAGATCCAGTTTAAAAGCAACTTGAGTATTATCATGATAAAAAAAACATGATAACTTCTTAAAAGAAGATTTCTAGTCCTCAATTTAGATCACCTCAAATCAATCCCTTATTAGGTGATTAGTTAAACATTAGAAAAACATTATCCCAACAAACAATTGCTTTACCAGAACATGTAAACAGTTTAAATATAAATTCTCATAAAAAAAGCCATTTTGAGAAGAGAATTACTTTTTAATGACATATAAATATACAATTTGCATTATAAATTTAATATAAATGAAATCAACATATATTATAGTTAAGAATAACTTAAAGTAAATAAAAGCTATTTATTGATATAAAGAGATTTAATAGATTATAAAAGTATATAAATAAGATTTTTAAAAGATTATAATTAACTTTCACACAAAAATAAACCTAAGATTTCTAACCTCTTTAATGATTAATAATCATAAAGCAATAGCATATTAAACTTTCAAGTATTTTACTACTTATAATTGAGAAAGTTGAAAAATAAAATAAAAACAATCATTCAGTTTTTATTAAATGCTAAATCAATTAGTTATTCTAAAAACTAAAGAAACATTAAAACTATCAAGTCAAATTACAAAAAAGTTTAAGTAAAATAAAATAAATTGTTGTTTTATAAAATAGTCTTCCATAAAGGAAGTCTTTAATCAATGTATAAGAATTACAAGAAATTATAATTTTCAAAAAAATTGAAGTAATCAAACTTCCCCTAAGTATTTATGCTTTCCATAAAAAAAATAAGTGACACATTTGGAAACTAAACTTATAAGAATTCTAGATATAAAATAATATGAAGTAAAAAACGAAAAAAATATATGTTGATTTTAGAATTATAAAAAAGTAAAAGAATAAGTAAAAAGATTATTCTTTTAAATAATGATTATTTTTTAATTTTATAAGTATATAAAGAATTTTATATAAAGAATAAGAAAGATGATATAATGTTTTAATAGGATAGAGTGTTGTTTTAGTGTATTATTTTGTACTTTTATTATTAAATATATAATTTATGCAAGGAAATTAATCATTTTAAAAAGACTATTAAGAAGAAAACAAATTAATAAAGTAAAAACTTTTAGAATATTGGATTAAAGTTTAAAAAGCTTTTGATGAAGATTATGAAGAGATTTTATATTTGAGTTAAGAATCTGATCCAAATGATATCATAAATGCATTATTCATAATTGAAGATGCACGTTAAGAATAATTTAAGGTGTAATATTGTTAAAATAGACATAGTTAGATAAGTAATAATATGAGGTTTTGAAAAAAGAATTATAATAATAAATAGAGAAAGTAGTTGAATTAGAAAAATAAAATTAAAACTTATCTTAATGTAAGAATAATTAAGATTTTCAATAGATAATAAGATAATTAGAAATAAAGATTAATGAACTATCTCTTGCTTTAGTTTAATGTAAAGAAGATAAAATAATATTCATGGAACAAGCATAAAAAGAAATATAATATTTAAAAGAGTAAGAATTAGAATTAAGGAGTAAAATTTAAATCCTTTAATATGAACAATCAAAATAGTCTTCATTTTTAGAAACTGATGATAAAAGATTATCAAGAGACTTTGTAAATGATGACATTCTAAGTAAATCTATTTCTCCATAAATATAAAAAGTAAAGCTGGATTTTTCTAAGTTATTTTAAGGTTAAAATTTAAAAAAATTAACAAAAGTAGAGTAAGTATAAGGAATTACTCAAAAAGCATTTAAATTTGGTAATAAATGAGTTTAAATATATATATTTTATATGTTTAATTATTTCTTACTTTATTATTATATATATTTTGTATTAATAAGAGATTAGAGAGTTATTATGTAAAAAATAATAATAAAATTAATTACAAAAATAATAAAATATATCAAATATATCTGTTTAAACTCTTTAAATCAGTAAAGCGTCTATGTTAATCACTTAATTCAGTTGAAGCACTTAATAATGATAATAATAATACGTTTGATGTGTATTTGAATCTATTCTTTTATTAGTTCCAAAAGTTTGTTTTAAATACATTAAAGTTTCTTCATTTCTTCTAATAATCATTTCAAGTTACTCCAATTTTGTAAAAGATAAATGGCTTTACTTAAATATAAAAAATTTATACTTCTTTTTGTTTTTTGTTATCATGAATAAATTATTAGAATTGTAATGAAATATTTTTATTAATATCCTCTTACTAATCTTACCTCTATTTTAAAGTAATTAATTCTTTTTGAATTTTTTTTATAGATGTTTCAAATTTTTTTAAAGAATCATTTTATATATCTTATTTATTTGCAATTTGAGTAATAGAAATTTTCTTATTTTATGAGAAGAGATTATTAAAAATTGAGACTGAAAGATTATTTTTTATTTTATCACTTTCATTATTAGTTATAGATTTATCTGATTTTTAGAATGGAGCATCAATTCCAGATGGTTTATTAATAGCCATAGAAGGTGTCCTTTTTCTATCTGGAGTAATAGTATGTTTAATTACATTTTTTTAAGAATTTTAATGTATTAGTAATGATTATTATTGTTAAATATTTGGATTTTATAAGTAGAGAATATTTTTATTAACTTGATTTATTTTTTATTAATGTTAAGATTAAGATTATTGTTATTATGAATTAATATTATTTAAAGATGGTTATAATGTATTCTAATGAGCAAATTGAATTTAAACAGGAGAAACTGTTGTTGTTTTCTTTTATAATTCTTTTGTAAAACTCATTTTATTGAATTAATCTAACTTATCACTATTCATTAAATGAGTTACATCTCTTAATTAAGCTTACTAGAAATTATTATTATTATTATATACTATCTAACTTATTAAAGTAGAATTTTGTCTGTTGTGCTCATTTTTTAAATTCTCTTTTTAATCATCATTATTATTTTTTTATTCAACACTGCATGTTTATCTTTTTTAAGTATTTATATTCAATTTAATTCCTGAAGTTAACTTTTTGGCAGATTCTTAAGTTTATTCAACACTTGATAATAAATCATTCTATTCAGGAATCAAAAATAAATTATTAGATTAATAAGTTCCAATATTTTATTTTTTTTTAACATTACCAAAAGTTAATCCGCAATTTTCCTTAAGATGTTACATAACATAATCATCGTCTAATTTTTCAATTATAATTTCTTTTTCTGGAATTTAAGGTTGAATATGTGATGTCTATTAATCATAATTTAAGTTTCGCATACATGATTAAATATCTCTATAAAGTGTTTCTTATCATCTTATTGACATAATGCATTTTTTAAATCAACTTCTGAATTAGATTAAGTTCTTCTATGCTTATGCTTACTCATTCAAATTTGAATATTTCTGTTTATTTTATATATTTTATTATAGTTAAGTAGAACATTTTTTTATTTATCGTATATAGAGTTCTGGTTGTCAACATATTCTGATAAGTTATTACAATTAAAATTGAAATTATACAATAACCTTAATTATAGATTTGATAAAATATATAATATTGAAATATCATACATAAATGAGAATATCAAAATTAAGTAAATTCAAATTGATTTTCATTTTGTAGCATAATTATAACAACATCTTATTCTCTTTTAATGAAGTCTCAAGAAATCAAATGGATAAAATTCTCTTAATTCTTCATCTTATAAGTTATGATTCTAATTTATTTTTAAAATGCTTACTTGAAAATTAGAAATCTTAAATTATAAAGTCTCCAAAGGTTTTAAAGGAAACTATATTTATTCAAGTTCTTAACATGTGATATTCTTTCTTCCTTCTTTATGATTAAATAATTTAATGTTCATTTTCCTGAAGGCTTCGTGTAATTCTTAAATAGTCTTTAAAGAATATTTGCTCTATTTAAGATGAACCTTCTAATTGATTTACTGTTACATAAGATCATATTCTTTTGTTATCTATTAACTAGTGTATAATATTAGATTTGTTATTGGACTTAATGTTACATAAATTACTAATGAACTTAAAAGCATTGATAATAATGCCGTTGTAATTCCAATCAATACATACATCCTGAAAAAATCTTAAAAATTGTTTTTTATTTAACTAAGCTAATTTAATAGTTCTTTCTCTTTCTCAAGAAGATCTACTTAACTAAAACGATAAAATTTCAAATCTTATACATTAGTAAAATTAAATCCGTAGGATAAAGGAATTTTGCTACGATTAATTCTTCAGTATTTGCTACTGTATTGTATCTACATAGTCTTTCATTATTAAATAATTGTTCAATCTTTGAACAATTATTAATAAAACTGTTCTTATGTAATGAATTATTTATTTGCTCAAAATCATCCAAATTAAATCCTGATTTATCAGTATCATATATATATGCATCTTCACTAATATTGAATTAACTTAATAAAAATTGACCTTTTTAATCTATTATTGAAAATGTAACATTTTCTTATTTCTATTATAGAGTATTAAATAAACTAAAATTTAAATCACTTCCAAGAACACCATCCAATTATCCATTTATATTTGTCATATTCCTTGTCTATGTAACCATAAATAAAAACCAAGTCCATACAATGTATGGATCACTAAAATAAGTCAAATTATAATTTTTATCTTCTATTTACTTTAAATGATTAGTATACCATATCCTTCTATGTGGCTTATAATTAGGAAAAGGATCTCCAGGCCAAATGGAAAAGTACATTTGATCTCCAATTGTTGAAAATAATAAATCTAAATCCATATCCATAATTGGTAGGGTTTAAGTTAAAAAAGAAGAATAATTCATTGCTAATTAATCCTTATTTGTAAGAGGATATAATTTATCTCCAAAGAAACCAAAACAAAATGTTTATTCATATTAATATTTGTCCATTTTATCATCATAATTAAGGCAATTTAATGGTTACTATATATATTCCAATTCTATAGATTATATGAATTGATATAAAAAATCAGACTTTAAAAGATGAGTCTAACTTCTCAATAACACTTCCTAAGAACTTCTCACTTATAAATAACTAATCATATCTGTTTTTTTGTAATATTATGTAACATAGAATTCTAATGAAATATTTGAGTACATATCTATAATGTGTTAAAATGCCAAATAACTTATTAGGGTTAATAATGTTCCTACAAAAAATTAAATTAGCACTTGAATTATCAATACTTATGTTCTAACTGTTAATTTATTAAAACCAAATAAAGAACTTAAGCAGATTTAACTTTTACGATTTTCTGATTTTTCCATTATTTGTAATTTTATTTGAATAATAAACAAAATAATTATTGAATATCATAATCAATTCTTATTTCTAATTTAAAAATTACTTTATTTAATTTTTTTTGCATTCTACTAAGTTCTAATTTGAAAAGTTAGAAAAATTCAAAAAAGATAAGAAAATAATCATTAATTCATCAACATTAATTAAGATTTACAATAAAATGTACAAAATTATCAAATAATTAAAGTTAAATACTTTATTTATTTTGAAATTCCATATAATCATCTGATATTGATAAATGATTCCCATTCATTCATAAAATTAGATATATGTAAAATAACTATATTTATATCATAATAAAATATCCACCATTATATTGAAATAATCAATGCGTATCAAACAGAATGCAAAAAAGATTATCACTTAAAATCCTATTGGTATCAATAAATATTCAGGTTATTTCATTTTATTGATACCTAAAAATGTTTAGTTATTAGTTTTACTTGAAATTTGTTTAAAAATACTGTAATAAAATTAATAATTTGCAAATAGGTTAAGCATATTATTTACTTCTAATGGACTAATAATTAATAAATTTATTATAAACTAAAAGATTATTGAATTTTATTACCAAGCATAAATAATTGTAAATTGTAAATAAAAATAATGAATACAGGAATGCTTCAATAGCAAATATTAAATGAAATTATTAGTCAGGGATAAATCTTTTTAGTAAATAAACTATTGAATATCCATAAAAAGCATTAATTATAAGATGCTTAAATAATGCAATTACAAAAGTATGTTTTAAGTAGAATATAGAATAAATAAATACAACTAGCAACTAAAATATTAAAATTAATAATAGAAAAGAAATATTGTTGGGCTATCTCAATTATATTTCTAATGTATGTATTATTACATATTACCATAATTCCATTAGAGGGCCTAGAATCTGTGAATATTTTAAATCAATTTACGCTTATCTTTAATTAATTAATAGTAATTTCATTTGATAAATTGACTCTTTGAAATCATTTTAATTTACATGGTATATGGTCTACAGATATATCATAAAATCATCATTTTTTTGAATTACTTGGGTTTCAGTTTTGAGATCTATCTGAGCTTCTTAATCCATTGAAATATATGTATAATTAAAATAATTAAATTATGATTATTTAAATTTATTTACTACAGTAATTATTAGTTTATAAATATCATTAATTTTTTAAACATTTTTCATCTATCCGACTAATTACGCTTATTTTGTTTATCTTTAACGATGTTTATTTAAATTATTCTTATTCATTTAATTAAAATAATTTAAGTACAATCTTTAGCAATTCATAAAAAAGCATATTAATTTAAGAACCTGATAGAAGACAACCTTGTATCTATAATCTAATTAAGTAATAATAAATATTAGGGTTCACATGGGTTGATATTAATGATATTATTTATAAATTCCAAAATTTAGGTCTTATGATGATGATTTATGCCTATGTTTCGATAAAATTAATTATTATTAACACTCAAAATCCCCTGAATATTTGTAATTATAATAAATGTGAACCAAATTATCTAAATTTTTATATATATAGGAATCGAATTTTATTGAATATCTATTTCATGAACTTTAATAATCTTGAAGTAAATTTTAGGAATAACTATACAATTTTAAAAAAAGATTATGAGAGTTTTTCATAGATAATAAAATGACATATTTGAGAGATTTATTTTTTTAATACTCCAATATATATTAATTCATAAAAATATTGATAATAAATGTTTAATAAAAAAATTATTCTTATACGTATTTAGATTTAGATTATTGTTAAAATTTTCAATCTTTTTCAAAAATCTGATCCTTTATATTGTTATTAAAAATATTTATAGTGATTTTTGCAAAATAATATAAATATAGATTTAGATATATGAAGAGATTGTCTTTTAAGTGCGACTAATTAAAATTAATTAAAAAACTTAGAATTAATTAAAATAATTTTTTAAAATAATCAACTTAATAGTTTAATTTTATGATTAAACAAGAACATTAATATTAATATTATTATTATAATATTGTAGAATTAAACTTAATTGATTAATTGATAGTCAAATTCAATAATCTATTATTAATTGAAATTGTATTGGTGGATAAAAAATATTTTTTTAATTAATTCATTAAAATGAATTCAATGAAATTTTCAAATAAACCAAGTTTATAAACTTTGAAGGCTTCTAAATTTAGTTTGATTGCAATAGAATAAAGATCTCCAAATTCAACGAAATTGATGAAATGTATATATTTTAAAAAATTGTACTTTTAGTAAAACAGTCATGCCTCATTTCTAACTAGAGCCCAAAGTTTAAAACTGAGAGAACTAAAACATTCAATTTCGGTGAAAGTGATTAGAAAGCTACAACAAAAATGGGGAATTTGAAAGAGAAAATTGGAAAATTAATCATTCTATTATAAAAAACGAAAGGATAAAAAGATATTTCTTTTTAAGTAAAAGTTGAGGAGATGATTGATTAAATGATGAAATTAAGTCGTGTTGATATTAGAATATTGAAATAGTTAAGATAGATAAAAGATGAGAAAGAATAAAAGGAACAATCTCAATTAAAAACAATTTTATTTATAAATAGATAATAAAATTAAATAGAATAATTAGTAAATATAATAATAATAATAATTAGAAAAAAAGATGTTTGGAATATAATTGATTAAAAAGAAAGATTGTTTATATTTTGAATCTATATAGATATGTTAATAATATCAATAATTTTATCTTTTTGGTCCAGCTTTACTATAACCAGTTGTTGGTCTGATACGTTCTCTTTCTACATTTTCGACATATTTATATGGATGTAAATGAAGTTTTTCAAATTTAGATTTGGTATGTTTTGAATGATTTTCAGAAATATATTTATTTTGAACAAAACTTAATTAATCAATAGATCCATAGAGACTAATTAAGTAACAGATGGTATCATAGATTAATAGAGTCTTAAATTAGAATTCTTAATTAAATTATGACCTAAAATAATGATAAATAAAATATTACCAATCTTCAGTTTCTTTTCTAAAGAGTAGAGTTCTTCCATTAGCATCTCTAAAATCTTTAGGACCAACTCCATAAATATAGGCTTCAAAAGATTCACTAAATTCTTCAACAATGATAATGGAAGGAAAATAAGTAGATAGTACTTTTTTAAGCCATTCAACATTTTGATTTATATCTTCTCTTTATAGATAATATAAATTAATAACAAATTAACCTATATTCCATTATTCAGGCAATAATATTGGTTCATATATATTAATTTATTTATCTTCTTCTTCATAATTTTATTTTTTTTCAATGTTAGTTTCTAATCTTTAATCACATAAAGCTTTGATTGCAAATAGTTTCATATATATTTTGGATCCTTTTTATTCACAACTTATTTAAATGGATTGAATTTCCTTACCTTCCATAATAACTTTATGAATAATAGGTTCTGTTTTTCTAAGATGTTCTTCTAAATAAAAATAGATTGGATATCCATCAATAATAAGTTTACTAACATAATCATTTTTAACTTCAATAATTAATGTTTCTTTAATTTCTAAATCAACGTATTCAGTAACTTTATCAATAGTAACTTCTTCATCATCATCATTTTTTTATTCAATAGTCTATTATTCTACTTATTCAGGTAAATCAATTTCTAATGGCATTTCATCAAAACTGGGCTCTTCTTCTGAATCTATATCAATTAAAGGATATGTTTCTAAATCTTTGATCCCTTAATCAATAGTAAGTGTATTATCAATAATTATAGTACTAGCTTCAACATTTACTTCTTTTAATGGTAAATCACGCTCAACTATTGATGGGATGATCTACATATGAATTTATAATGGGAATCTTAACTATAATAATAGTGCATAAGAATCTAATATCTAATTTAAGAAGTAAAATACATTATAAACAAATAAATGGACTAGCAACATTATGAGCAAATTAAATCTTATCATTCACTTTTTATTCATCCTATATAATTATTGATGATTAACTCTTAAGATATTAAGTATGTTCTCTTTAATCTTCTTCTCTTATTAAAGGTTATACTTTAAAACTAAGTGATAAATCTTATTTATCTAAAGCCTCTAATGGTTCTTCATACATTTCATTATCACTTTCATCTGTTAAATCAACTATCTCTGGTTATTTGTATTTATGTCTTTAATAGTTACAATTATCTGCACTTGGAACATTCACGAACTTTTCTTTGAATTGCTATTCAGGCTTTATCTTGCATTTATCAACTAATCTTAATAATAATTTTGCATAACTACTCTTCATAATTATCACGGGTGATTTTTGCATTCGTGGACATTTTATTGTAATAAAATCTATAAAGAAGTGCAAATGTTGATTGAATTTGAGTTTCTATCAAATATTATGGATATGATTATATGCTCTTCACATAAAGTGGATCATAAACATCTAAATCAGGTTCGGATCCTGATGAATCTGCTTATTCTAAATCTAAAGGACGATACTCTTTCTTTCTTATATGAAAACCACCTTATTAATCATCAAAAGCATAATCTTTTGTTATGCTTTCTTTCTATTCTGTGAATAAGCTTTTTATACAGATATCATCAATATCCATTATATGTTAATCAGTTATCTAATCATTTTTATATGTGTTAATTTAATTAAATTTATTACATAAACTATATACCTAATCAATAAAACCTTTTTTATTACATTCAAATAATACACTTTAGATATCAAATCAGTATCCTTTGTGTATGTTTCATAATATATATTCTTTGGATGATACAAATTCAATTTATTTAATGCTTTCTCTTAATTCATTGCTTGAGATTTATGCTTATATACAACCTACATAAATATTGGCAATCTTGATCTTTGTTATCCAAATATCTTCAGTTCCTTCTTCGTTTAATTATCAACATATTAAGGATACTTAATAAGATCTATGTACCCAAATCTAATACACCCAAAAATATAGTTTTTAGCATTCCAATCTCTTTCCAATTTCTTTTTCAAATCTGTAAATGAATCATAATAAGCCACCATATTTTAATCATTAATATAACCCAATCTTTTTTATTTAAATTAGACCTTTCTTGCTGTATTTCTAGATAATAATCTCTAAACAACTAATTTAATATTAAAATACAAATACTTCTGGCTGATGGTGACAATCTTTCCTCATCATCACTTGCTGTAGTTGTACTTAATTCTTATTAAGATAATATATTTTTATGGACTTGATACGCTTACTTTAATATAGAAAACATTTATTAGTAATTTACAATCATTCCAAAAGTATTATCTTAATAAAGACAATCACTATATTATGATAATTACATTAAATGCTACATTGGGACAGGAATATTTAATTTCTAAACAGCAAAAAACATTCTATCTATTTCAATAAAATAAGAGTGTTCATTTAATTGTTATTATTATTTCAACTTACGATGAATTGTAAAAAATCCATCTGTCTCAAAATTCATTGGTGTAAGCATTAATAATAGCTAAGATAATTTTTATGAATTGACATGTATATGTTTACATGAATTCATAAATTCAGCATCATTTTGCATTATTCGAATCAATTAATTTATTATCCTGTTTAACTATTATTTAGTTTAAATTCTGTTATTTATTGTATTTGATAATGGTTACAAGATTGTCCTTTATTTTTATCTGCTCTTTGAATAGCTAGTCTAAATTGTTCTCTATAAATTAGAAAAATCAAAGTTTCTTGTTCTCTTTTGTATCTTCTCTGTATCTACACTTTAGTAAATACTCTATTATTATTCTAATTTAGATTGCTTATTAGCGATCTTTGGAAATATAGTACTTCTCATTGTTGATTTAGTACCATCAGGTGTAAGTTACCTGTTCATTTTTTGTAATTGCAATATTTATAATTAATAATTTAGACAATGCAATTAGAGTATAAACAAATAAAACTAAGTTAATAAATATTTAATCGATATTTAGTAATAGAAGCAATATCAATAATCTTCTTTTCTGTTAAATAATGAGATTCTTTGCATTTAATCAATATCGAATTGATTAATTTTAATTTCTTTTGTCTCATTCAATTATTTTTAAGATGCTTAAAATAAATATCAATTTAATACTTCCTTTCAGTTTCTTAAAACTACTCAAAGGATCTTTAGCATAGAAACTACCCATTGTTGAATCTTCTAATCTTACACAAGTAGGCTTTTTAACAGAAGGTAATTATCTAATTTAAATAGAAGAGCATTTATTTTCTTGAATATCAACATCAAAATCAACTTAATTTTTATATTTTTAACCAATTCTTTAAAATGGAGATTCAGCTTCAGATAATAATCCATCTGTTGTAGGTTGGAATATATTCCTACTACTAATATTAGGTGCATTAAATGATTTGGTTTCTAATTTTATATAAATAAATATACTTTTTGATTGTAATGGAGATGAAATTTTGTTAAAGAAATCGGATTCTAAAGTTTATTAAGCAGTGATTCTTTCAGAAGGATTCTTGGCTAACATTCTTTTAAGTAGTTCTTAAGCTTCAAAAGGAATAGAAGTCATTTCAGGACCATCAAGTGTAAAATTACATTTTTTATTTTATGCCAAAACTTCATTAAAAGTATTTCCCATAAATAAACTATGACCAAATAGTAATTTATAAAATATGCAACCACAACTAAATATATCACAAACTTTATCATATTTAGTTGATCTATCAACTAAATTTAAAATTTCAGGTGCAACATATCCAGGAGTACCACATTTAGGAAATTAATACTTAGTAACATCAGTAAAGGTTGATAATCCAAAATCTACAATTGTAAGTGTCTCATAAGAATCTAATTCACGAAACATAATGTTATCTGGTTTTAAATCTCTATGTATGACATTATTATCATGAAGTATCTTTATACCTTGTAATAATTGTTTCATGATAACTTTTACTAATTTCATAGGAAACATCTCCTTTCTTTGCTTTTAGATTATATTTACTTTTACTTTAAGAATGTCTAACTCATCAGCTAAGGTACGTCCTTACATTAAATCTAGGATCAGATAAAATGTATGATCTCCTTCATATGTTTCATGTAATTTAATAAAAGGAGCACAAGTATTCTACTTACTTAAATGACTCAGTATATTGACTTCATTCAAAAAAGCCTACATTCCAGATTCACTTTTCTAAAGATAACTTTTATCTATCGCTTTTGCTGCCAATTTTGATTATTCATTTCCTAAGTCTTTTATTTGGATAACTTTTGCTGAACTCCCTTTCCCTAAATTATATTGTGCTTCATAGAAATCAGCAATCTTATAGAATGTCACTTTATTTCTAAGATGTTCTTTTAGTCTACTTAATTTTATTTCCATTACTTCTACAAGTCATTGTTGCTCCCCACAAAGTCTTTATACTTTTCCATATACTTAATTGTAAAAGCTTTTAACTATATTTTCTTATCTTTCTTCTCAATTATCCATCCTACTTAATTTGTCAACTATAATGATAAAACATATTTTGGAGAAGAATCCTTTGCTTTCTAACGTACTAAATATATCTTACTCTACTCATCAGCATATAATCATTTAGAACATAACAATAATACTTCACATCGTTGATAAAATGTTTACGAACCATTATGCATTCGAATAAAACATTAGAGTAATCATACTATGATTTCATATAAAATAAATTAATTAATCATGCATACACATGCGATACATTTCATTAATAATCACTTTTATACCTTTACCTTATCAAGTAGCTTCTTTTTTCAATTATTTATATTTACGAGTACATTTAATATCTTTTAATTATTATTCGTCATTTCATATTAATATAATCATATTACTTATTTCTATTATCTAATTTTTTTAGATATTATGCGGCTAAATATGACATACCATTCTAAATATTCATTCAATTAAACCAAGATGAATTCTGTCTTTTAGAATTATATTTTTATTTTTAAATTTCAAGGATGTAAAATCAATTGTTGTGTACATATATAGTCTTCTGTTTCTTTTATTCAAAACTCTCATTAACCACTAGATGTAAGAAAGAATAATAATTTTTTTTGTTAAAAAATGATAATTATTGTTATCATTATGATATTTAAGAAAAAAAAAATAATTTTAAGGTTCAATAATGAGATAGAGAACTTAATGTGAGAGTTTAAATGCATCTATTGAGTTTTATTAGTTTAGAGAATGCTGATTTAATTGTATATTCATGATTACATATATTATAAATTTTGATGACTTCATGTACAGTCCTTTATAAATAAAAAGTATGAGAAGATATTATCAATAAATAAAATGAATAAGACATTGATTGCAGTCATTACCACTGTTCTACTTGCAGCAACTAGCTATATGAGTTAAGAAGATCCCTTAAGAACTATGTATTAAGAATGGAAACAACAATACCAAACTAGATATGCAAACTAATTTGAGGATGAGTATAGATTTGAAATCTTCAAATAAAATTACAATTACTATCAAGAAGTAAATAGCAGACAATCCAGTTATACCCTTGGATTAAATCAATTCGCAACTCTTACAGACGAAGAATTCGAATCAATATACCTTGGTGGACTTGATGACTCTCATGTAGAGGTTGATGAAACAATAACTTCATTTAATTATCCAGAGAAGGCTGATTGGTCTGATAAATTGAATCCAATAAAAAATTAAGGATCATGTGGATCATGTTGGTCATTCTCTGCAGTAGGTGCTTTTGAAGCTTATTTCATTATTAATCATGGTTAAAAAAAAGTATACGCTGAGTAACAATTAGTTGACTGTGATAAATATTCATATGGATGTGATGGTGGTTTTGCAGGAAATGCTATTGATTATTTAAATAAAAATGGTGCTGTTTTGGAGACTGATTATCCATATGCTGCAGTAGATCAAAATTGTAAAATACCATCAGGATTAGTTAAAGCAGGTGGAAGAAAAACTTGGACTACAGCCACATAAGCTTATGAAGCAATAGCTCGATATCCAATTTCTGTTAGTGTTCATGCTTCGAATTGGAAAGGATATACTAAAGGTGTTTTCTCTGATTGTATTAATACTTCAACAAATCATGCAGTTGTTGCAGTTGGATATGATGTTGAAGGTAACTGGTTGATTAGAAACTCTTGGGGAGTTGGATGGGGACTTTAAGGACACATTTGGCTCAAAAGTGGAAACACTTGTGGAGTACTTAGAAGATTAGATTAAGTTGTTTGAAAAGAATTTTATTTAAACAATTACATAATAACAATATAATTCTAAAGTTTTCATAGTATTTCATGTATATTGAGATAAAGAATTTAATAGTTTCATTATTTTCATATCCCACTATCGTTACTTTTCAGTGTTTAACATATTCAGAGTCTCAGTATTATATTTGTTTCCCATTTCTAAATATTCTTATAATGTTCTATTAAAAATCTCAGAAATTTCATGCTTGTAGTTTTAACTAAAATTGAATTCTTATACTCTCTTCTTAAACGATAAGGCACAAATCATTCCTATATAAAAATGACCTATTTATATTAAATAATTATCAACCTTATTGATGATGCAAAACTTCATCAATTTTATCTTTTTACCAAGACGAAGGATCTATCTTACACCAAACATCAACCATCACTTAAATCTTATCATCATCTTGACGCACTTAATAATTATAACCAATCTTCCATCTAATTTAAGCTTAGGCTGATTCATTTTTTGGAGGGGTTCCTTAAAAATCATCCCATGTTAATTTTCGTAAGTCCAAATTATTCTAATTTATCGAAGAAGAACTGTCGCTGTATGAATGTTATGATCTACTCAATTGATTAAAGTCCTCACTTTAATTTATTGGTTAATTATTTAACATATATTTAATAATATTCTCTCTTTTCATTATTCACCATCTCTTATCATTTTGTATTATTTTTATATTCAATTTCATTTTATACTATTACTATTATCTTCTATCATCTTTCTATGCTGATTATTCTATCATTTTCCTTCTCAAAAAATATCATCATTTGTAGAAATCTTTTATCTTACATTTTTTAATATATATATTATACTGTATTGTTTAAAAATGTAAGAAATATTCTCACTATTACTTTTATTCATAAGTCAATGCAATCGCTCGTAATTACTCAAAAGCGTTATTTAAATTTTACTAATTTATATATATATATTTTATACCATTGTAAGGGGGAATAGGTTTGTGGATGAAGTACAATTATTTGGATAAATCAAGAACTATGCCAATAAAGGGACCTATGACATAGGCTTTTATTATCTTTACTACTACTATGTTACTGCTTAATTTCCTTAAGGTCCATGTCCATAAAATTTCATTTATTCTTATTGCTAATTATATTCCTGCAAAGGCAAAGCATTGTTTTGAGATTATGTTTATCCTTATGACTATGACTGATGAATTTATTATTACGGTATTTGGGGTTAATTTACTTGAGATTACAAAATTGCTGCATTTTAAACACTTGGCTATTATTAAACTTATTAAATTATTTAATGAGGAACTTGTTACTATTATTAATGAGTCTCTTATTATTTTTATAATACCACTTGTTATTATTAACCCTTTATAGTTTAATCAGCCTAAATTTATGTTGGCTATTTACTAGTTTGATTAGGTATTACTTATTGATTATTTTATTATATTTTCTATTATTATTACTATAGTTATTAAGTTTAATGCTAAGAATTTTATTTGGATTATTATTATTATTATTGTTATTATTGTTATTATTATTATTGTTATTATTATTATTGTTATTATTATTGTTATTAATGTTATTATTATTATTATTATTGTTATGACTATTATTATTACTATTATTATTGTTATTATTGTTATGAATTTAATTATTATTGATTTAAATTTTATGATTAACTTTCCTTTTTATTTGAAGAATCTTAAATTTACTAAGTTACAGATTCATTTTATTATTATCTTGCAAGCTAAGCTTAGTTTTCTTATTATTATTATGGTATTTATTATTCCTTATGAGAATCTTTTAGAACATATTGTGGTTATTATACAAATTCGTCATTTCTATTTCTATATTATCTTTTCTAATTATAGTTCCTGTTATTGTTATTATAATATTAATTTTAATTTGTTCTCCTTTAATTCCATGATTCGTTTTAAGTATTTTTTTAATATCTTTATTAGCCTCTATCATTTCTATAAATTTATTGATTATCTTAATGATCATAATCCTCATCTTTATTTCTTACATCTTCTCTATTCCTTTTGTTATTATAATTCTATTAAGAACTAAAAATAAAGAGATTCTATACTTGAATGATTTTTGATATTATCCTTGGTTTTCATAATTTCTTGTGTTTCGATATTCTTGCTATCTATTGTATTGATCACTTTATTTTCTATTGTTTTTATGATCTTCATCTCTGTTTGAGTATTTTCTGTACTTATTTTAAGATCTTGATTTCTCATTATCATTTGTAATCCAACCTTCATCAGTATCATCTTTATCATCCTCTTTTTATTATTACAAGTCTTTAATATCTCTTTCAACTAAATCAAACTTAAAGTAATGTCTTTTCGCTATATTAAAAACTTCACATTCCTAAAATTTGAATTTCACTTCATTACTTAAAAACCGTACTATTAAGAAAGTTTACTTATTTCATCTCTCTATTTCTATTCTAAAGCATCTTTTTTCTATTTCCATTCAACTTCGGCAGGTCTTTTATCTTTTGTCTAACTTTCGTAGTCACTCATTAAAAATATTTATAAAAATTTGTATCAAAAATTAGATTCAAGGGCAATTAAATCAAATATTCCTTCATAAAATCAAAAATTTATATTCTCAAAAATTATTTTCTTAAAACTAATTTTTAAAATCTGCTCTTAATTCACTCATTTAAGGCAAAATTTATATAGGTATTTAAATATATAAAAATCCATTTCTAGCGGTAAAATTAAAATATAATTATGATTTTGCTCTCTAATTTTATCTAAAGAAAATGATATAAGATAACTTCATTTGGAACTTTAAAATAATAATAATTAAGTTTTTTAGAAGGGAAAACAAGTGATTTAGCATTATTATTATTTAATAAACTTATTTAAAAAATCTTAATTAAATTCGAGATTATGTTTTTTATATATTTTTTTTTAATAAAAATCTTAGATTTATATTTAATTGATGTTTTCCTTTGTACTCTATACAATTTAACATAAAATATTCCATTTAATTTCTTTTAGCAGTCCAAAATCTTTATCATTATTATTGTTGCCTTAAAATTACTTGTAAATAATAGTAAAAAAATATTGAAAATTCTAAGCTCTGAAAAAAATTGATTATAAAATAGCAGACTGCTTAATTTATTTTGTTATTTATAATATATAAAGAAGTATTGACTTTAATAAGCCAGGGATGTCTTAAATTCAATACTTTTTTTTTTAAATTTGATTTCCATATTTTTTTTTCTCTATAACCGATACTCTCTTTTAGTAAATTTAGGTCTTGTCCATTATTAAATATTAGAGTAATTATTTTTGCATACATTTGATGATCAATTTAAAGTTTGAAGAAATAAATTAAAAAAATAGAAAATAGAAACATGGGTAATTATTATAGAAAAACGTCCCAGAAAAGTAATTATTTCAATATGAGATAGAGCTTAGAACAAAATTAATTCTTGTTGAACTAGCTATATAAAGAGTTATTGTACTATTACAAAAATAAAAGTTAATATTAAGTTAAGAAATGGATAAAATCTCAAAGTTGATATTTAGTGAAATAAAGAAATATTTCCATTAATATTAATTTAAAATAATTTTTTTCGAGTATATTCTTATACCACGTAGATGGAAAACCCTTATAACTTTGCCTTAAGCTAATCAAACTAATTTAATAGTATTAAAATTTTTGATGGTTAGGTTTTATGAATATGCAATAAATAGTGATACCAGTAAGACCTGATGAATTAGAACTTAATAACCTTTAATAGATGGCTGGATCGATAGCCTTGCAAGAAAATTCAGAAATGGTAGAAGAAAAACAAGTACTAATATTTTATATACAAGTAACAAAACCCCCTACATGATAAAAAGTATTTGGAAAATGGAGAAAGTGTCTAGCAAATTGTAACTAACAAAAGAACTTTTAACGACTTTAATAGAGAATTTCCTTTTGTCAAGATCAGTGTTTACAAGTAGCACCAAATGGCTAATTAAAAAATATATATACTTTAAGATGACAAGTAAAAATATTCAATTATGTTAGAATTATTGGAAGCAATTAGATCTCAAAAAATGAAATATCAATCATTCGTCGTAAAAAGTAATAACAATAAGGAGATAATAATATAGATTTAGGTAGATAATTTAAATGATAATTTTTAGGTCTCTCTTCATAAGAAGTAAATATAGATTAAGTTCCTTGTAAAATTTCAACAGAATTTGGTTTTCGTCATTCTAGTAGAATTACACCACATATTCTCTGTTTTTTATCTTTAAAATATTCCCATTCAAGATTTTAATAATTTCCATCCAATATCTTTAAACTTATACACTCATTTATTAAGTAGTTCTTACTTTTAATTTTTTTAGAGAAAAACCATAATTCTATGTTTAGGATTGTGGAACATCTTTGAAAACCTTAGTTAGAATTAAAAAAGAAAGTCCAAAAATAATGAACGATTACAACAATTACTTAATTGGAGCTGATTTCTATTTTCATGTGGTTCAATTAAATTCAATACCATATCCATAAGATAAGAAAAAAAAGGATCAAGAAACACCAAATGAATACTTTTATTAGACTCTTGTTAGAGAACATGAAAAATATAGAGCTAGAATTCATGGTCTGTCTTTAGAAGAATAGGCAACTTTTTAAGGTATTTCATATATTTATATAATAGAATACTTGGAAGAATATAGAAAATTAAAGAAGAAAGGAAGGAAATAATATCATCTCTTAAATTGCTAAAGACCATTTCTTAAAATACAATTTGATACACCAATATTTAAATAGATAGCTGTTTTCATAGCTAAATCAGGATGTGAATAAATATTTAAAATTGGAAGATCTTAGGATTGCGATATTATTGTCAATATGAATACTGTCTCAAGAAAACAAACTTAAATTAAATTCAATAAATCATAATGGGAAATCTGTGATGGAGAAGGTATACGATAATCAGCTAATGGAACTTGGTAATCCTTATAACCCTATGAATTACCTTTTTAGAAAAAATCTAATCTTAGTACTCCACTTTTGATTGAAGATCTTATGGAAATTAAAATATCTGAAAACATTTTTAAATTTGAAATGATTGGATTTGGAGTTTCAAAAAAGTAATATTATTTTAATATTATTAGACGAAAATTGACAAATACACTCTACTAAGAATTAACTTAATTTAATTGATTTCATTTAAAATGATTTCAAAACCTTATATATTTAAATATTGTATTAAATTATTTTCTTTCCATTTTTTCAACTTTCTTTTTTTAAATTATATTAGAAAGCTTAATAGAAATATATCATGAAAATTAAAAAGTTAAATAGAGAGAAAACATCTACTCATTCTTCAAGAACCATCAAGATTTACAATAATAAGAAGCTTAATGCCAGTAAAAGAGCTTAAAATAAAGACCTGGGAAAACCTCCAAATTTAAAAAACATTATTTTAGATAAACCAAATATTTGGGCTGCCAAAGAGAAATCAATTAGACTGATAACTTTCTTAATAAACTAAGGGAGGCATTTTCTACTTCATCCAGCAGGAACAAAGAAGATCTTGAAATATGAATCTAATTAGTAAAAATAGAAAGAAAAGGAAAACTTACATAATTATATTAACAAAATGAAACCATTATACGATTTATTAGGATAAATATCTATTACTTATCTTGGATTTTAATAGAGATAGTAAAAGAAAGAAAGATTAATTGTATTTTTTTTTAGAAATAATTCTTAAATAGATCCTCAATATGATAATCTAGAGCCTCTTATTAATAATTAATTATAATATGAATTAGAAGAAATTAAATTTTAGCTTGACAAGAACTTTTTTAGAGAACTTCATGAGATTTTAAAATAACTAGTAGGAAATTAAATAAATATTTAAAATCAAATTAAACTAATTACTTAAAAAATAGTGAATTAAACTAATGATTTACATGAACTATCCTAAGCTAATACAATAGCCAAGAATTTATTCATCTAGTTATTGATTGAGTAAGGAAATAAAAATTTATAATTATTGAAAACGATTATTGAAGATTAGGATGCAAAATAATTAGTTAAATTATTTAAATATTTCATTACATCTAATTCATTAAGAATTGAGGAATTCATAACAAATATAATAAAATTGATGTAAGGAGACAACTTTAACAATTTAACTGAAAATTCTCATCAACAAGATATTTTTAATGATGAATGTTTAATATAATTAAAATACCTATATCCAGAAAATGATAATTCTATTTATCTTAGTGATTAAGAAGGATTTATTTGATATTTTAAATTTTAGTATTATTTTTAGATTTTTTGTGAATAACTTATTTAAATTTTAAAATTAATTGAAATTATTATTAAATTATTCATGGCATAATAAGGAGAAGAATTAAAAGGCAAAATTGATGAATCTCAAAAGGGATAAAATGAGTAGAAAGAATAATCAGTCTAATAGTAGGAGGAGAAGAATGCTGAGGATAGTCAAGAAAAACCAAAAAATTAAAGTTAATCTTAATCTCTTTTTTCTGGTTTGAATTCTGGATAGAATTTATTTAATAATAGTGGCATTAACCTTAAACCAGGCTAATTATTTACTGGAAATATCTTAAGTTCATCAACATAACCTACATCAGAATTATTTTCATAGTTGTTCAAAAATACAAATGTAGAAATTAATTGTGGAAAAACTCAATCTGAGATAAATTAATAAATATCAAAGCCTGCAGAAAATAATAATCAAGATGATGATGGTAACATTCTTAAATTTATTTAAATTAGAAGAAGATGACGATGAAGAAGATTAAAAATATTTATACTCTGATTTTAAGTATGAATAAAATGCAGACTTGGAATAGATTATCAAAGTAAATTGAAATATAATATTAAAAAGTAAGATTTAGAAAAGTTTAGAAGAAATGCAAATCAAATACTTGAGAAAGGAACTGTCTCTATTGAAAAAGCTAAAAATGAAGAATCTTATTTCTTTATTTATAGGTATTCTATTGATTTATAATTAGAAACTAAACTTAATAAATTATCTATGCTGGATAATTGATAAAAGGACTTTCAAAGACAAGGCCTTTAGGTTAAAAATAAGAAAATCTATTACTTAAAGCAGTAAGCAAAAAGGAATAAGAAAATTAACAAGAGTTATAATAAGTTGATGATAAAAAGTAGTTAGTCATTGATATTTTAAAATTAATGTTTACAACAAAAGAAGGAGCTGAAGAATTTAAAAAGCAATTAGAAAAGGTATTGCAATGAAAATATGTATAAATTATATTGTTTAAAAATTAAATCAATATTTTATATCAATTATTTTTTATTATGCTTTGGTTTAAGGATCATAGCAAATGTAAATCTTCTTTTCTATATAATTTTAAGAGTTTTATCAGTAACAATAGTAATATAATAAAATTATTAGAATCTATACGACAAAATCTAACATTTAAAATAATAATTTAAAACTTATAAAAAATTAGAGTTATTTTCTTTTACATAATCTTCAGTAGCCAAAAATTAAGTAAGACAGCAATAAATAAAATAATTGAACCTAAAATACTTTTTTTAGTTAAGTCCTTTTATTAAATCTTAATCATTTTAAAATATAATTTTTCAATTAAATATAATTCTGTCTTGTTTTTTGATAATTTGACATCTTTTCTTTGAACTATTTTTTGATCTGTTACTTCCAATTTAAGCACCTAATTCTTTGCTTACTTTCAAACTTAATCGATGATACATATTGTTTATATTATCATTGTTATAAAAATTGGAGGTTTTAAAAATATGACTTAAACTATTTCTGTAAAAAATATAAATTTCATTTGTTTAATTTATTATAATTATATAAGTTTAACAATCCATTAATTACATTCACATTGTCTGGATATTTTTTGAGAATTGCTATTTCAGTAATAAGAGGAACCTATGCTATTTTATTATAAAGTTGTTATTTATTTAGTAGTTATATGATTTGATTTATTTCACAGTTTTAAAGATAAATTAATAAAATTACAATTGTAAAAATATCATTTATATTCAAATTACTTTTGACTTAAAATCTTGGAATTCATTATAAAATAATATTAATTAAAAAATTGAATTTTTATTCTAAAATAAAATATTTTTATTATTGATTTTTTAAGTGTTATTTTATGGAAAGAATTTTAGCTTCAAAGTAAATGCAAGAAACAATCTTTTGAAATTCTATTAATCTATGAATTTAACTCATATTATTAATAAAATTTATGTAATTTTTTTTTATATAAATATTTCTTAATTGCTCAAATGATAACAATTTTATTCTTGGATCGTAAAGATGAAGAACATTAAAGAAATTACGCAAATATAATGGAAACACTGTAAAAGAGTAGTGTTAGAGAATCATGGACATTATTTGATTCTGAATCAGGGAATTTAGTTGATTAAAATACAAATTTAAAAGATATTTTCAAGCTGAGAGCTTTGAAAGGTTCAGATATTAAAAATTTGTTTAAAGAACATAAAGATATCCAAACACTTATGAAAAAAAACGATTAATATGAAAAAGAAATAAAAAATTTAAAGGATGAACTTAAAGAATATAATTTGGTGAAATAATCATAACTGCTTAATGTTCAGACTAATGTCTAGATCAATAGAAATGTCATAGAGAAAGAATAAGAAATTGAGAATCTAAAAAAAATAAATAAACAATAAGAATAAATAATACAAGATATGGATACCGATAAAGCAGAATCTTAATCAGTTTAAAATTTCAATTAAAATAGAATGATAGAGAGAAATAATGAAATAATAGCAAACTTAAATTAAGAATCAAAAAATTTATCCTAAGAGCTTAAATCTTAATAATAAAAAGTAGAGTCTTTATCCTAATAACTTGAATCTAAAAAATAAGAAGTAGATAACTTATCCTAAAAGCTTGAATCTATGTCAGTTGAACTTAATCAATAATCAAAAACAATAGAAAACTTAACCAAAGAAAAAGAAAAATTTTAATCTTAATCGTTCAATATTGAAAGTTCATGCAATCAAACAATATAAGAAGTTCTTTAGTCATTTTATGATGAAGAAAAGCCTATGAATATTTATTTGCAACATTTTAATTTGTTATTAGAAAAACAATTGGAAAATGAAAAATAAAAAATCAAAGAACCTCTGAATAATACATTTTTATAGAGTACTTAGATTCTTCAAATAAGCATATAATAAGTAACCTTAGACATTTAAAAATTTAAGTAATGTGTTAAGGATAAGAGAATTTTTTTATTAGAAAATGAATATATAATTTAAGGTAAAAAATAAGATATTGATTAAGATACATTAATAAAATTAAAAAATGGACTCAGTTAAGAGATTACAATTAATAATGATATTTATTAAATAAAAATAAAGGAATCTAGAAAAAAAGAGTATTAAGCAATGCATTTAATAAATAATTAATTAGTAGTAGAAGGCTTTATGTCAATATATAATGAAGACCTCTAAAAAACAAAACCTTAATTAAACAAAATTTCTTTAGAATTAGAAAAAGACTTTTTAATTAAAGATGAAATTAACTAATAATAAAACCAATAATTAAACCAAATTCGTTTAAAATTAGCAAAACACTTTTTAATTAAAGATCAATTTAACTAATACTATATTTGTGAGGAAGTTTTTGGAGATGAATAAAATAAAAAATATGAAACATTTACATAATCAACATTAATTCATTAATACATTAATTCCTTCATATTATACTTCTATTATTCTATGAATAAAAATTGTATAATAACAAAATATGAATTAAGAGAGGAGGATAAACAGCCTAAAAAGCTGTCAAATATTAAAATTAGTCATAATTATTTTTAAGCATTATCTTTATTTTATAAAGGAAATTAGCGTATAGAAAAACTCAAAATAAATAATTTGACTTAAGGAGCCTATTAAACATTTTGGTCTGAAGAATTAAAAAAGTTGGCTGAAGAAAAAAGAGGAGTTTGAAAATAATAAGAAGATATTATTAAATATAAAAAATACTTTATTTTGTTATTTTATTTATTTTTTCTCTAAAAATAGGATCGTTAATTAATTCTTTTTTAAGATAACTTATTATATAAAAATAAATAATATTTTTAAATAAAGTAAAAAGCTCTTTAAGAAATTATTAATTAAGGTATTTATAAAAAAAAGATTCTAGATGAATTAAAAGATTTCTATCTATTTAGTTTAGCAGAAATTAAATCTTGAATGTGAATAATTATGATTAATTTATTTTTAGATAAGAAAACTCAAATATCATAAAATTAACAAATACCTAATTTTTTTAAAGAACTTATCTCTTTGTTAAGTTCTTCTGATTTGATTTAAGTTTCATAGGATTTAAGAAAAAATTAAATGAATGATAGATTAAATTATAATATGGAATTCATTCAAAATGGAATAAACACAAAAATATTTAGAATATTCAAAAGAAAATTGATTTATTAACTTTAATTTTATTTAATTAATTTATAGTTTGAAAAAAACAATATAAATGAAGAATGAGTATATAAAAAATAAATTTTATTTATGAATGCAAAAATTAAATCCTTAATGCTTTCATTTGATTATTTTTTTTAATGAATTATTTCTTAAATTATCATTTTTCATGTTATCATAAAATCTAATTATGTAAAGTTTGATCAATTGTTTAGAATCTAAAGATCTGAGAGAATTGTTCAATTAAGAATAACGAATTGATGAAACTACGTCATGATTAGATTTTGATAACAATTATCATTAAGATTGTGATCGCAATTTTTGTTACAAATGAAATTTCATTTTAAGATAATAATGATGGTTTGTTACTATAAGATTAGAGTTTATCAAATTCATTAGTAGGTGATTCATCAAATTGATTTAAATGAACAATAAGTTTATAGGAACTATTAATATATAAAAATACTCTTATTATCATTTGAATGATTACTTTATTGGATTTATTGAAAGCCCTATGATAGAGTTAATTTTTAGGAATAATCTTAGACATTTATAATCTGATTAAGGAGAGAGACATTGAGAGCTTCCCATTAATTAATGTATTAAATAATTCATACTATTTATCAAACAGATCAAATTCTAATTCATTAAGCAAAGAATGGAAATATTCCTATGATCTCTTTAACTGTAAATAGAAGAATTGATTTAATGCCACTTGCATAATGTGGAGGATTATGTTTGAAAGTAAGCAAAGAGTTAGGTGCTAAATTGGAAGTAACAAATCAAAAAATAGTTTTAATAGAGGATGTAAAATTAGCAGACAACAAGACAGAATTGTATTTCATAGGAGAATTATATCATTTAAATGATTAAGATTTAATAGAAGGCCATAAATTAGAAAGTGTAAGACGAATTTTAATTGAACTGTATAAGGCATACGATTCATTATTGAAATAGAATAAATAGTTAGATTTCTCTCTCTATAATCTATTTTTAGTTTAAGATTAACTAAAAGTATTAGATATAGGAGTTTTAAATAAAAAAGTCTAAAAAGACTCAACTCCAACAAGTATGCTTGCATTATTAATTTTAAAACTATTTTTATCACGACAATAATACAAACCATTAAAATATATGAATAGTGGATAATAGATAGAATACATACGGAAATTAAATGAATATTCAATTTTATTGCCAATGCTAGATGATATTCCAAAAAGAATTTCCTGGGAAAATCTTGGTTGTTATCTCTTTTAAGATGTTAAAAAATAAGAATTTCTATCAACCATGCCTATTGCTATGTATTATAAATAGCCATACAAATTAAATTCAACATTAAATTCATATAGTTTGGCAGTTTAAAGAATGTAGAGTAATTTAAGGTCTAGAAGTAAAAGAAATGTAGGATCTTTATATGAACATTAAAAAACATCTATTAATGGATTAGATGATGATTCTTAAGAAAATCAAAGAGTTATTCGTTCAAGAAGATTAATTAATCCAAATATTAATCTTATTAAACCAGGATCAATGCAATCTACTCCTAATCATAATAAATTAGAGCATCCTTATAGACATTCTCCTTAAATAATTAATAACTAATCATAAACTTAATAAATTAGAGCTTCATTCAAAACTGAAAACTCTTTATAAACAATATAACAAAATGTTTCTTATGATAATTTCTTTTTAAAAACATAAACAATGACTCCAGAGGATTCATAATCTAAATTTATATCGATTAATGCCAGTGTTAGTTAAAATTATTATTCTCAAGAAAATTAAAATTAAAATGACTAATTAACCACTTTATAATAATTATAGGTGAAGAGCACAATTTAACATGAAAAAAGAATTTTCAAATTACCTTAACATAAATAATTACCACCAGNGGAGAGAGACATTGAGAGCTTCCCATTAATTAATGTATTAAATAATTCATACTATTTATCAAACAGATCAAATTCTAATTCATTAAGCAAAGAATGGAAATATTCCTATGATCTCTTTAACTGTAAATAGAAGAATTGATTTAATGCCACTTGCATAATGTGGAGGATTATGTTTGAAAGTAAGCAAAGAGTTAGGTGCTAAATTGGAAGTAACAAATCAAAAAATAGTTTTAATAGAGGATGTAAAATTAGCAGACAACAAGACAGAATTGTATTTCATAGGAGAATTATATCATTTAAATGATTAAGATTTAATAGAAGGCCATAAATTAGAAAGTGTAAGACGAATTTTAATTGAACTGTATAAGGCATACGATTCATTATTGAAATAGAATAAATAGTTAGATTTCTCTCTCTATAATCTATTTTTAGTTTAAGATTAACTAAAAGTATTAGATATAGGAGTTTTAAATAAAAAAGTCTAAAAAGACTCAACTCCAACAAGTATGCTTGCATTATTAATTTTAAAACTATTTTTATCACGACAATAATACAAACCATTAAAATATATGAATAGTGGATAATAGATAGAATACATACGGAAATTAAATGAATATTCAATTTTATTGCCAATGCTAGATGATATTCCAAAAAGAATTTCCTGGGAAAATCTTGGTTGTTATCTCTTTTAAGATGTTAAAAAATAAGAATTTCTATCAACCATGCCTATTGCTATGTATTATAAATAGCCATACAAATTAAATTCAACATTAAATTCATATAGTTTGGCAGTTTAAAGAATGTAGAGTAATTTAAGGTCTAGAAGTAAAAGAAATGTAGGATCTTTATATGAACATTAAAAAACATCTATTAATGGATTAGATGATGATTCTTAAGAAAATCAAAGAGTTATTCGTTCAAGAAGATTAATTAATCCAAATATTAATCTTATTAAACCAGGATCAATGCAATCTACTCCTAATCATAATAAATTAGAGCATCCTTATAGACATTCTCCTTAAATAATTAATAACTAATCATAAACTTAATAAATTAGAGCTTCATTCAAAACTGAAAACTCTTTATAAACAATATAACAAAATGTTTCTTATGATAATTTCTTTTTAAAAACATAAACAATGACTCCAGAGGATTCATAATCTAAATTTATATCGATTAATGCCAGTGTTAGTTAAAATTATTATTCTCAAGAAAATTAAAATTAAAATGACTAATTAACCACTTTATAATAATTATAGGTGAAGAGCACAATTTAACATGAAAAAAGAATTTTCAAATTACCTTAACATAAATAATTACCACCAGAAGATAATGAATAAACTATAAAGGTCACTAAAATGGAGGAAGATTTGACTAAGGAGTTTGAAAAATATTCAGAAAATTATAAACATTATATTGAATGCTTAAATATGATTGGTAAGACAGTTGCTAAATGTATAACTACTTTAGATGCAAAGAATAATCTTTGGATGATGCCTTTATTTATTGTATTTAAAAGAATGTATTAATTAAGAATTTCTTTAGAAAATAGTATACAAAATAATCACAATATTTTCCATCTTTAAAATTATACATAATTTACAGAAAGTTTGTAATTTCAAGAGTTTAAAGAGGGATTTATTAATCAAAATAATATTGTTAAAACAGAAGTTTAAACTTTATTATAAAATTGTGAATTCAAGATAGAGAAACTTGATAAAAAAAATTAATAAAAAATAGTTCCTTTGTTGAATCTAAATTTAGATTAGAGTATCAGGGATATTTCGTTTATTTACTTTTACTAATAGATTTATAGTTATATTAAAAAGTTAATGGTAGAGCGCCCTAAATAAGCACAATAATTAAGGGATTTGATTGTTAAAATTTAATGCTCCTTATTAATAATGGATTAAGCTATTGGTGATTTTAAATTTGATTTATAAGAATATAATAATCGTAAACAAGATGAATTATATAGATAAGAGAATGAGTTAAAACTAGAAAAGATTAAAATGAGAATATAAAAAAGTGGATATTAATTTTGATTATTTTTAACTGATACTTTTATTTAACAGATAAATAATTATTATATTTTATTTTTCAGTTTATATGGGAGCTCAATAATCTGTAGCAGAAGGAATTATTAAATCAAAGAACTTCACAATATTAGGATATAAAGAAAATGATATTTATGGATCATTTAAAATAATAGAATCACAAGGAAATTAATATGCAATGGTTTCTAAAACCTGCCAAAATGAAGAAAGCTATATTAATTTTTGCAGAATATTAAAAGAGACTTAATAATTAAATAGAATAAATCAACTTGTAAAATTGGTTGAAGTAGATATGCAAGAAGAATCTAATTTATGTAGTACTTTCTATAAGGTATCGGCTTTATACGAATATTATGATACTACTTTAAGGGAAATAACTAAATAAGCATCAGTAAACTGTTTGTTTGTATTAAAATCTTTATCTGAAGGATTAATAGAATTATACTCAAACAATTTAGTACATGGAAATCTAACACCTGATTTTATACTAATTGATAAATCAAAAGGAGAAGTGAAACTGAATAATTGTACTTAACTTACTGGATATAATCATTATAAGCGCATTCTAGCTAGTGATGGAACTTGGTATTTATCTCCTGAATTAGTCGCAGCAATAGAAAAGAAGAATTTAAGACCTCAATATAATCATGAAAAGAATGAAGTTTATTAATTAGGATTGATAGCCTTAGAACTGTGGGGAAATGTAAATATATAATCTTTTTACAATAAATAATCTTGCGTTTTAAATAAAAGTACAAAAGTATTGTTTAGCTTTAGTTATTATAAATGAAGCCATAGATGAATTTGGCGTAAAGAATGGTTAAGTTTTGAAAAATGTTATCAAATAGATGTTGGAAGAGGACCCTAATAGTAGGCCTACAATGGCAGAACTAAATGCTGTTTTTGCACAATTATATGAGAATTAATTACAAATTATAGAAGAAGAACCTAAAGTACTTTAAAATGCCTAACCAATTACACAATAATAAGTTGTTACCTTATGTGAATTAAATTAAGAAGAAGAAGTTCATTAAGAAATAGTAGAAATCCACGAAGAGTCTTTCTAACATTAGAATGTAAATAATTCTAATGAAATTTGTAAATAATAATTTGAAGAATCCCCTAAAAAGGTAGAAAAATCAAGTGTTCATCTACATCCATAATCTTTGAAATCTTCAATATCTTAATCTATAAAGGAATACTATGTTACTGGATCAATTGCTGCTTAATTTGGTTAATTGACTTTCCTTGAAAATAATACTGAATATTAGTCTATTGGAGCTGCTCAATTTGAAAATCATCATGATTTAGATCAAGATGTATTACAAGAGAAACCTTAAAATATATAACAAAATTCAACTAAAAGTCATGAATCAACAATCATAAAAAAGAGTGTTAAAGTGAACTGTAATCCTCAAAATAAAAAATCAATTTTAATCAAAAGACCAAAACGTGAATCTTTAGAAACTAAACTTCCAAAATAAGCTGTAGTTATAACTAAAAGAAGATGAATACTTTATATTTTAATGAGATTTATATATTACCTTTTAATTTGAATTTATTAATTTTTTATTGAATTTTAATTAAAGAAACATCCGATATAGATCAAGTACATATGTAAATTAATATCTATTAATGGAGTAATAATATATTTCTACGATCTTTTTTATTTTAATGTTTTTACTAAAATTACATAGAATAAAAGACGTTATGAAATTATTAAAAATAATATGTCATCTCAACATTTATTTGGAAAAAATATTAGTATTTAATCAATATTAAAAAAGCAATAAATAAATTAATATTAGAACTCATTGAAAAGATTTATGACTTCAATCGGAATATGCAACTATTGAAAATATATGGACTACATCTTGGATTTTAAGTTCAATTTGGGTTGCAAAAAAGAGATATGGCATGGATCTTAAATACTTATTATCTTATATTATTGATTATGGTTACACATTATGCAAGTGGCATTAAATCAATTCTTCTATTTACAGTTAAAGAGATCATAGGAATATTTCCATTCTTTGCTTAATGAATTAGAATTTGATCTGTTTGATAAATAGTATGAATTATTTAATACATTAATTAATGGGAAGCTCTCAATGTCTCTCTTCTTAATCAGATTATAAATGTCTAAGATTATTCCTAAAAATTAACTCTATCATAGGGCTTTCAATAAATCCAATAAAGTAATCATTCAAATGATAATAAGAGTATTTTTATATATTAATAGTTCCTATAAACTTATTGTTCATTTAAATCAATTTGATGAATCACCTACTAATGAATTTGATAAACTCTAATCTTATAGTAACAAACCATCATTATTATCTTAAAATGAAATTTCATTTGTAACAAAAATTGCGATCACAATCTTAATGATAATTGTTATCAAAATCTAATCATGACGTAGTTTCATCAATTCGTTATTCTTAATTGAACAATTCTCTCAGATCTTNTAAGAGAATGAGTTAAAACTAGAAAAGATTAAAATGAGAATATAAAAAAGTGGATATTAATTTTGATTATTTTTAACTGATACTTTTATTTAACAGATAAATAATTATTATATTTTATTTTTCAGTTTATATGGGAGCTCAATAATCTGTAGCAGAAGGAATTATTAAATCAAAGAACTTCACAATATTAGGATATAAAGAAAATGATATTTATGGATCATTTAAAATAATAGAATCACAAGGAAATTAATATGCAATGGTTTCTAAAACCTGCCAAAATGAAGAAAGCTATATTAATTTTTGCAGAATATTAAAAGAGACTTAATAATTAAATAGAATAAATCAACTTGTAAAATTGGTTGAAGTAGATATGCAAGAAGAATCTAATTTATGTAGTACTTTCTATAAGGTATCGGCTTTATACGAATATTATGATACTACTTTAAGGGAAATAACTAAATAAGCATCAGTAAACTGTTTGTTTGTATTAAAATCTTTATCTGAAGGATTAATAGAATTATACTCAAACAATTTAGTACATGGAAATCTAACACCTGATTTTATACTAATTGATAAATCAAAAGGAGAAGTGAAACTGAATAATTGTACTTAACTTACTGGATATAATCATTATAAGCGCATTCTAGCTAGTGATGGAACTTGGTATTTATCTCCTGAATTAGTCGCAGCAATAGAAAAGAAGAATTTAAGACCTCAATATAATCATGAAAAGAATGAAGTTTATTAATTAGGATTGATAGCCTTAGAACTGTGGGGAAATGTAAATATATAATCTTTTTACAATAAATAATCTTGCGTTTTAAATAAAAGTACAAAAGTATTGTTTAGCTTTAGTTATTATAAATGAAGCCATAGATGAATTTGGCGTAAAGAATGGTTAAGTTTTGAAAAATGTTAATCAAATAGATGTTGGAAGAGGACCCTAATAGTAGGCCTACAATGGCAGAACTAAATGCTGTTTTTGCACAATTATATGAGAATTAATTACAAATTATAGAAGAAGAACCTAAAGTACTTTAAAATGCCTAACCAATTACACAATAATAAGTTGTTACCTTATGTGAATTAAATTAAGAAGAAGAAGTTCATTAAGAAATAGTAGAAATCCACGAAGAGTCTTTCTAACATTAGAATGTAAATAATTCTAATGAAATTTGTAAATAATAATTTGAAGAATCCCCTAAAAAGGTAGAAAAATCAAGTGTTCATCTACATCCATAATCTTTGAAATCTTCAATATCTTAATCTATAAAGGAATACTATGTTACTGGATCAATTGCTGCTTAATTTGGTTAATTGACTTTCCTTGAAAATAATACTGAATATTAGTCTATTGGAGCTGCTCAATTTGAAAATCATCATGATTTAGATCAAGATGTATTACAAGAGAAACCTTAAAATATATAACAAAATTCAACTAAAAGTCATGAATCAACAATCATAAAAAAGAGTGTTAAAGTGAACTGTAATCCTCAAAATAAAAAATCAATTTTAATCAAAAGACCAAAACGTGAATCTTTAGAAACTAAACTTCCAAAATAAGCTGTAGTTATAACTAAAAGAAGATGAATACTTTATATTTTAATGAGATTTATATATTACCTTTTAATTTGAATTTATTAATTTTTTATTGAATTTTAATTAAAGAAACATCCGATATAGATCAAGTACATATGTAAATTAATATCTATTAATGGAGTAATAATATATTTCTACGATCTTTTTTATTTTAATGTTTTTACTAAAATTACATAGAATAAAAGACGTTATGAAATTATTAAAAATAATATGTCATCTCAACATTTATTTGGAAAAAATATTAGTATTTAATCAATATTAAAAAAGCAATAAATAAATTAATATTAGAACTCATTGAAAAGATTTATGACTTCAATCGGAATATGCAACTATTGAAAATATATGGACTACATCTTGGATTTTAAGTTCAATTTGGGTTGCAAAAAAGAGATATGGCATGGATCTTAAATACTTATTATCTTATATTATTGATTATGGTTACACATTATGCAAGTGGCATTAAATCAATTCTTCTATTTACAGTTAAAGAGATCATAGGAATATTTCCATTCTTTGCTTAATGAATTAGAATTTGATCTGTTTGATAAATAGTATGAATTATTTAATACATTAATTAATGGGAAGCTCTCAATGTCTCTCTTCTTAATCAGATTATAAATGTCTAAGATTATTCCTAAAAATTAACTCTATCATAGGGCTTTCAATAAATCCAATAAAGTAATCATTCAAATGATAATAAGAGTATTTTTATATATTAATAGTTCCTATAAACTTATTGTTCATTTAAATCAATTTGATGAATCACCTACTAATGAATTTGATAAACTCTAATCTTATAGTAACAAACCATCATTATTATCTTAAAATGAAATTTCATTTGTAACAAAAATTGCGATCACAATCTTAATGATAATTGTTATCAAAATCTAATCATGACGTAGTTTCATCAATTCGTTATTCTTAATTGAACAATTCTCTCAGATCTTTAGATTCTAAACAATTGATCAAACTTTACATAATTAGATTTTATGATAACATGAAAAATGATAATTTAAGAAATAATTCATTAAAAAAAATAATC